CTATAAAAAGATTGTTGACCTTGAAGCTTTTATTTGATTTTGGGTACTTATTCAAATACAAATATTAATAACCTAGAGAAAAAGATGCAGCTTCCCAAGCAGAACTTCCTATTGAGGACCGGGGCCCTTGCACAGAAACGTACGTTTTGTTTGCATTGTCAGAAATCCGCAGCCTCTCCCTCAATGCTCCTGTTTCTGCTCTGTGTTATCTGCCCTGGCCTTTGTGCTCTTTTGTTTGGGCTCCTTGTCTACATGGGTTTTTCAGGAAGCTTCCTGTAGGTTTTTTGCTCGCCCTTGTTTGGAGGAGGATGAGTGTGTGCTGCTGGTGCTTCTTCAAGTGTAGTATTCTCTAAGGTATCAAAAGCAAACGTGAGCCTTTCTTTTACCTGGCTGTACCCGTCTCACAGATGACTTGGTGATAAGCCAGGACACCAGTGCACAGGTGGGCATTTCCCTCCTCATCCATGGGCTTGCCGGGGAACTTCTGGCAGGTTGCAGCCCCTCCTTCAGCCTCTGTTTCCCTGCCTGCACAGGGTGACCCTGCCAGCTTTCCTTGTGAACTAATTGCAACTCACTGACAAAGCAAAGGGCACTTTATTTGTAATAATTCCATATCTAAGTTCCCTGCTAGTAAGAGCCTCACCTAGGTTCTTAGTGCAAATTTTGTGGTATCTGATGCTTCAAATCAGAGAGGACGGCCCCGAGGAGCTTGCACAGGCTGTGTGTCCTCCCAGGGCAGCTCCGGAGGCTCCTGCAGGGAGAGTGATAACACCACAGGGACAGGTGGGAGGCACCGGTGAACGATCCCATGAGGAGAAATGGCCAAATTACAGGAGAAAAGCTTTGTTTGCATTACAAATGATAAAAAGTGGCAGATGTTTTAAAAAATATGGACATAACAATTTGTGAATTTGTACGCTTATTGAAGTGCTGTCAGGTGCATCTGATGCACATGGAAAACAGGGTTTTTACTGGAGGATCTCAGTATTGGAGATACTCCAATAATTAAAACTCCAATATATTTCTTTGCTAGCTTATTCATCTTGTCCAGGGAGAAGAGGATTCGAAGGCTCTGCAGCAAACAGGAGAGAAGTGGTCAGACCGATAATCAAAGCCTTACAAATTAGCTCCATGCTGGAGAACTGGGGTCAATTTTTATGCTCCAGGACATGGGAACTTCTCTAGCAGGAAGGGTGTGAATGACATGTGTGTGCTTGTGTCCATGCTCTGGCGGGTTCCCGGCTGTGTTTATTTCAAGCAGTTTTGCTATTCCTATGAGAAGTCTGTTGTTGTTTCCCCCCATTGCTGTAGTTGGAGGGAGGAGATCTGCCACAGCGTGGCTGTCTCTGTATCCACTTCCTAACGTGGCGTTGCATGAAATGGTGTGCGTTTAGGTGATGTACCAATTCAGCTGTGGTAATAACAAAAAATGATCTGGGAAATAAGTTAAGAAGAAAAAAGAGTCAGATAACAACACATAATGGTGCCAGGCAGTGTGAAAGACTCTGGAGAACTCTGAAATGTCATGGTTTCATGCAGTGTGCAAATAAGGATGAAATTGAAAATCAGCTATTTTAGGAAAGCTATCTCTTCATTTGCATGAAATAATAATCAAATAATTATCCGGCCACCTTAAACAGCAACGTTGAAGATTTGTTTAAGGTCACCTAACTGCACAGAGTGCCACAATACGCAGGATAAATTCTTAAGTATTTGGTACAGCTATAATTACTGATGGCATTTGTTAATTTTTATTTTGAATAAACACTTGCCTATCTATAGGTATTGAGTTGGAATAAACAACTTCAGCCTAAAAATATTTGACTCTCTGATGGATCTTGAGTAGTGTTGAACTCCAGGTGTTAACCTGAAACTTAGGAACTGAGGCAAATCAGACACAAAGATTTTCAGTTGCTTTTAATCAAGCAAGTAAAATTAATGAGTCCAATGATAATAAAGATTTCTCCTTGTGACAGCAAGTAGACTGACGGACAAAAGGCCAGATGAGTCAACGTCCTCTCCTGCATAATTTGAAAATACTTTGTTTACAAAGAGGAGAAGAGCAAACCTTTATTCCAGTGAGCTGCAGAAGTGTATTTTGTGAATTGCAGGCTAGAAGATTGCTTCCAAAGGGCCGTTATTACAGTGTGTCAGCGATGATCACTGGCTGCTTGACGTTCCCCACCTAGCTCTTACTTTCCCTTCTATGACAAGGTTGTAATCTTGGCAGCATACAAAAGAAATGTGTCTGGTCAAGTGTGGTGCAAATGAGTTGAGCTTAATGGTGGAAAAGTGGAAGGTCACCTTTTTTAGATGATCTTTAACAGAGTCACCAGCATGTCAATCTTTTGGCTCTAAGATCAAAGCCAAAATAAGCAATAGAACAGCTGTGTTTATATTGAATAATTTAAGCTGCCTATCCTATATGGGACTCAGACAGAAATTTGAGTATTATATCCATAGTATGGTCTCTAAGCAGTATATATATATTTTTTTTTGGTCTGTTATTGTTCACAATCCATGCCTCTTATGATCTCTTTTATTGGAGTTAATGGCAAATACTTCTAAGTAATAATAAGGGTGCAGGCTAATTGTTCAGTAACCACAGCTAAAGAATGCAGTGGCACAAAATTTTCCACCCTGGTACAGAAAGGCTTCGTTTCCATCATGCTATTTAACATCCTCACTTAGAGTCCTTAGGATGAGTCATTGCCTCTGATTTAGGATCATTGAAAAGCACATAGTTTCTGCCTTTATTTAATTGACTTCTGATTTACTGTTAATTAAATCCACATATCCCTGATTGTGTAGTTTAAAACGGGACTTGTCTGGGTTATATCTGAGGCAGGGGAACGTGGCTGTGGCGCAGCGTGGTGGTGTATCTCGTGCGCGTCCCCCCGTGCTGAGGTTTGCAGCACGTGGTGGGCTGCAGGGCAAGACGTGTCCCCGTGCAGGTGTTCCTGAGAAACCCTGCACCACCTCAGCTCTGTCTAAAAGCTATGCTGTGTTTAAATAGTTAGCTAAAGAGTCACGGCGTTAGGTTGTCAGCAGTGGCTGTTTGGGTCCCTGCGATGATGGGACGGCCAGGTGGGATGCCAAGGGTTTCAATCTGGCAAGGACACTTGTGGCAAAGCTTCTAGAAAGCCAGCAGGGGGACAATTATTCTCGTTTTAGAGAAGTGGATGGGTAAAGAGATGCCGTAACATGATGTTACAAAGGAGCAGCTTTCTGTGCTTATTGGCCCCATCTCGCGGGGGTGAACCCGCCCGGTGGCAGGGGTTGTCCTGCTGGCCCCACGTCTGTCCTGCAGGTCATCCACCTGCCCTCCCCTTTGTGCCTGCATGAAATACGGAGTGACCACGGGCTGCAGGAAAGCAGCTGCGATCCTTTTCCTCCAGGGTAAGGCTTTTGTAGCGATGTTTAATTAATAACAGCAATAAATCCTCTCGGCCCATCGGCCTCCCGCAGCACAGGTGAGCATTATCACAGAGACAAAACTCGGGGCGCCGGGGTTAATTAACTTGCTCCGGGCTGGTGCCTGAGCCAGGGTGGGTCTTCTGTCAAGCAAACTCCACAGTCAAATGCATGGAAATTAGAAGAATGTCCCCACGGAGGCTGCTGAAGCAGCCACGACAAGGTCACAGAAGGCACAGGAACAGCAAAATGAGAAACGTGTGAACAAGTACAAGCAAATAAGGAGGAAAAAGAGGGAGGAAAGATCCAGGAAGGAAGATGAAATCTGTTGAGCACCATTTTTTGGCCCTTTTCCCCCTCCCTGCACGGGTGAGGCAGGATATTGGTGGCCGTGGGGCGGCTGGGTGCTCACTGCCTGCTGCGAATAAGCAGCAGTGTGTGTGATGGCTCTCCTCATCCCCTAATACGTGCAGCAAAGTACGTATTTAATGTAATCAGACTGGAGGCTATAGATCAACAGCACTTTCTGCTTTGTGCAGCTTCTGGAATGAGTCATGTTTTCATCTTCATTTGGATGTGCGCATCCTCCAAGTCAGTTGATAAATTGTCCTCCCCTAACTCAATTAAATGTGGCTCTGTTTTCCTGTGGTGCTACAGTTTAATTCACAGCATTGCAGCGAATGTACTGCAAGGAGGCTTCTTGTACGTTATTTGTACATGTTGCTGTTTTGTCTGAAAGAGCTATGGCTATAAAGTAAAATATGAATTTCTAAAGAGAAACAAAGTCTTCTCAAGCCGCACTTTTAATAAAGCCCTTGAGACCAGTGCATGGAGAACCCTGAACGTCAGCAGAAGACCTCCGAGCTACACCCGTTCACCCTGATGTTCCTGGGCACATCCGAGGTTCACCAGGGGCTGCTCATGACCCATGAGGGAGCCTCTGCCAACACTAATTGTCACGCTTCAAGAAAGTGGGGTGGTGGCAATTAATGCCATTAGTAGCCCAGCCCCATTAAGGCACACAGCACCAAGTGCCCATCGCTGTGCCTTGAGGGAATTATGGCACATCAGATGGTGATCCCCACTTTGTCATCTCTCCCACAGCAAGCTATTATCAAAGCGCAAAATTTGTTCAAATTAACATCTGAAGCCTTCTTCTGTTTTGGGGGTCTTTGAAAGCTTAGGTAATCTATCAATGACCAAAAGTAATTGCTTTCTCTAAAATATGGCTTTCTAAAAGGAAATCTAACTTGGATGTATGTAGTGAATGACTTAATTTATGTGGAAGCAATGGGTCTGAAAAAGGAGGAGGAGGAAAAGTTGTGATATGAAGGCTGAATCCATCTTGAGTTATGAATAATAGATGACTCACTTGGGATTGTTTTTTGCTAGATTTAAATTAAATCTCATCAAATAAGTGATAATTGGATATATTTATAAACGAGCAAAGCCCACTCAAGGGGATTTCAGTAATATTGTCAATATTACAGGTTACCAGTAAAATTACCCAGAATTAAATATTGCAAACAGTTGTACCTGGCTGCAACAGTAATTCATTGTAGTAATCCCTGGAAGCAGAGGCTTTAACACTCTGTCCTCTCATTCTGGATTTGGCTTCTAAACCAGCTCCAGGAAACGAGGAAGTTCTTGGCTCAGCAAGGTGAGGCTTTCCGCTCAGCAGCCTGGCCTGAGCTGCTTTTAGGAGGTTTGCTCAAACCAGCGGTGTGGTTACCAGGAGCTCCAGAACTGTCAAGCAGTTAATGAGTCATAAAGCCGGCTTTCCTGGGACTGGTGCGTCCCCGTAAGGTCTTCTGAGGTCTGAGTGATTTGATACTCCTTGTGTAACGGGGACATTTGTACACGTGCCAATGACCCGTGTGATCTTGTTTGTGCTTTACAGGGGCTGTGCAAGCGGGAGCTCTGTCCTGCAGCTGCCCGTGGGTTTCTCATGGCACCTGCAGGAGCTCTGAGGATGCTGGTCAAGTGAAACGTGATGGTGCTGGCCAACAAATTCAACGTGTGGTCATATTTGCTCCCCTGGTCAAAACAAACCATTGACCTGAAAACCTTTCCCTCTTCTGCTCCTGCCACACATGGGCTGCTGTGATGTTTGCAAGGCTGCAGAAAACGAGCACAGAGGTGAGAGAGAAAGACAGACTGACCTCGGCTTGCAACTTCCATCACTTGTTATTTTCTCCTTATGCTTTGAGACAAGTTGCCTAGAATTTCTTCTCCACTAAGTGGTGCAAGCTGCCTCACTCCTGCCTCTCTGCTGCTTTTTTTTCCCTCCGTCTTTTCTTTTTATTTATTTTATTTTTTTATTTTTTATTTTCTCCCCCAGGAGAACAGACCTGTGGTTATTTCAACATGGTCTGCAACCCTCTCGTTGTGTTGGGTTAGTCTGGCCAATACAGGCTGTGTGTGCCTCATCTGCATTCAGGGCGGCACTCCTCCATAGCTTTAAGGACTGTGGCGTTCTCTACTGATGAAAATTGTTAGATACTTATTTTTTTTTTTTCTCCTACAAATTATCAGGTCATTTAAAAAAATGAACTCATTTTAATCTAATTCTGCATGTGCAACAGTCTGGAGAGTTATTTTCAGCTCCAGTAGTTGCAGTTTGCAATTATTATGCTTCTTTTAAGAAAAGAAAAGTAACAGCTCTATATTTTATGTGAATTACTGGTGATTTTTCAGCACAACTTGTGTTTAGGATAAGTAATAAAAAAATAAGAGGCCAAATGGATAGTAATGTAGATTGCAAGAAACACAGAGGAGGTAGGAACATATGTAAAGATTACTAAAATATTAACATTGACTACTTAGGCATTAACATTTCAATAAAAAAGCATGTAATTCTTATTGAAGCGAAATCAATAGTTCCTAACTAACCATTGCTTCTGATCAAAACAAAACAAAATCAATATTTTTATTTCCTTTATTTAATTGCTGTAATTCATGTATGTTTCAGACTTGTCTGCAGCCGGTCTCCTGGAGCTCTCCTGCACGTCGCAGTGTTAGAAGTGCCTCAGTGCCCCAGTTCGCTCCCAGCAAGAGGCTGGGCTGAAGGGGTGGTTTTTCCTCTGCATTTTTTCCTCTCCATTTTTTTCCTGTGGATTTGTGCCTAGTCTTTGAGAAGATTTTGTGCACAACATGCCAGTGTGTGTGACTTGTCCAAGTGCTGCTAGGACAGGCATGGCTGAAGGTCCCATCCCATCCCAACTTGCGTTTACATTTGAAACTAATTTTGTGCGTTTCCACAGAACTTGCAACCGACTTGAATGCTTCAAGTTCAGAAGCACGGTGGTTACCTCATGTTGTGCTCCATCCCCCATGCATTGCAGTGGTGCCCTGTGCTCAGAGAGTTTAATCATGTACCTGCTTCCCATGGTGTGCTGCCGTGAAGCTTTCCCCATTTCAGCTGTCCTGCTGACACCAGAGCGGGGATGTGTGCGTGCTTCCCAACGATGATTTGCTATCTGGAAAAGAAGTAAGTGTCAGCTTCTGTGAACACATCCATCAGCAGCCATTCCCACTTGTGTTTACCGGCCACCAAGAACCCCAGACCCAGAAGCAGAATGGGACCGAAAAGGGTTGGGAGGCATCAGGCCGCCACCAGAGGAGCTGAATGCTGGAGCGGCGGCAGTAAACACTTCTGGTCTCCTGGATGAGATACAGGATTTACCGAACACGAATGTTTAAAATGTTTTCTGATTTAGTAAGTGAAAGATCTTTGAAACAAAAGAGAGACTTTCAGAAATTTAATACAAATTGCCAGCAATTTGCCTGATGTTTAACAAAGGGAGCAGGTCAATCCAGCAAGCACGAGGCAGGAATAAAAAGCATCAGCATCTGCAAGGAGCGATGCAGTGCAGCAAGGGGGAGCAGAAGAAGCAGGGAAAGGCTTTTTATAATGTTTTGTGGGGATTTCTGGATTGGCCGAGCCCTGTATAAGCACCTTGTGCATGGCCCTGTGTGTAACCTCCCTGCCTGGTTTCAATCTGCCTTGCTGAACTTGATTCTCACCTGCATATTCAGGTGCAAAGCAGGATGGACAATGGATGTGCCAAAATCAGAGTTGTCTGTAAAGTGCCAGGTCTGAGTGATCAGGGCAACTTTTGCAGACATCCAGACCCCGTGGGAGTGTATGCACACATAACAGACGCCCTTTGCCGTCTCTCTGTGGCTAACACCACGTCTCTTTTCCTTTTTCTGCCCCAGCAGCAGTGGGACATGGCCCCCATTTTTCTTTGTTAGTGCCACGTCACATTTCACCATTTGGGTAGAAGAAACAGTGGTGGGATATTTGTTCTCTGCAAAATGCAAAGTGACAGGACATCTTTCTTAACAAGCGAATAACCAAGTTTAAATAACCATGCCAAAATATTCTTTTGAAAAATGTCTGTCCCTAATTCAGTTTGCCTGGTCATTGTAATTTAGTGCAGTGTCCTTCTGAGAAACTGAATTATTTGGGAGGCCACACAAGATTGCAAAGGTATAACTGCATTTCTGCAGATGTGGAAGTCTCTTACAAATGAGACCTGGGAGGCTTTGTCAGGACCTGAGAGTCCATCCTGAGACTTGTTTTGCCCCGGCTCGGTGACACCAGCTCCCCTGGGGCTCCAGCTGGGCAGCGTGTGTTCGATATGAGAGCAGCTCTCTTGGTGACGGAATGGACGTGTCCCCCTGCAGTGATTGCAGCCTGGCTGCTGCCACACGTGGGCACAGTGTGGGCACCCCATGGTCAAGCTGCGCATTGTTTTCAGGGCAATGGCTCCATTTGCTGGCTCTGCTTTTTCCTCCTCTTCCCCACTCTGCAATTCAGGTCAGGTATTTGCTTTTGAGATCCCCAGTGCTCCTTTCTCCCTCCGACACAGAGACACCACGCAATGGGTTGGCATCCCCAGTGCCTGTCCCGGTGCTGGTGAGTGCCAGGCTGGTGCTCAGCCCCGTAAAGCGAACAGCAAGCATCACCCTGCTGGGAGGCAGAAAAAACTCAGGGCAGCTTTCAGGGATGACAGATTAAGTGAAACGGAATTTAAAAATCACATGAACACCTCTCTGTATGATAAAGTACAATGGCTGAAGTGTTTCCAGCAAGTCATTTTCCACAGTTTCTGAGATGGTTTCTGAAAGGACACCGCTCACTGCCCTCATTATGTCCATTCCAGCCAAAAATCAAGGCTGTGTACTCCACTGCACGAATGTCAAGTGAAACATTTAAAGACCCCTTATACTCTGTGTGCGTTCCTCCTATGTTCCCTGGTGGGATTCCTGGGAGTGAAATTAGAGGTTGTTAACAGTCACGTGTCCTACCAGTTCTTTTTTTTTTTTTTTTTGGTAAACTTTTAAAAAAACCCGTAGAGTTCATTCTTCTGAGCTCTCATTCCTTACCAGAAATTCTTGAGATAAAGGGAAAACCATCCAAGCCATTACCTTTATCTTCTGTGGAGCTTAAGGATGTTGTTCTTTTTGTATGACAGGGCGATGAGAAGGCGTACGGAGAGAAAGACAGAAGCACAGTGAAGGTACCTGGTTACTTACATTTGCTTTGGTGTTGGCCTGTTCCTCAGGGATGGACAGATTGCTTTGAGGCTGAAGAAAAAACAACAAAAGTCGCAGACATTAAGACACCAGGAGGCAATTCTTCGAGAATTCAACACCAGGATTTAGGAAGGAAAGGGCCTTTGGTGTAAGGATTGATTTCAAATCACAATTGTCGGAAAAGGAGAAAGCTTCAGGGGGTTCAGCAGTACGTTATGCAGAAGATGTTAGGTCTAAGTTTCTTAATTTTGGTGACAAATTTTCTTATGCAATGTTAATTTAAAATAACAGCAGCAACAATAAACAAGCAAAAAACCAAACCATTTTTACAGCAGCAGGAATCGTAAGAAAGAAAAACCTGAGCTGTGGAGCCAGCAGTGCCCAGGATAACCATGTGTGAGGAACAAGCCTCGTGTGGAATCCTAAGCAGAGAACTCCTGGGGAGGGGCAAGAAAAGTACCATGAAGTAAAAATCCTTTAGGCAAAATAGATAATTGCACCGCGATGGATATGTGATTCTTTTTCTTATGTATCTAGGCAACTATTTGCTTTAGAAGTAATGACTGTTATAAATCACAGAATGAAGTTTCTAACCCCAACACATGCCTGGAACAGAGCTGTTGATACTATCCAGCTAATAAAACATATTTCTTGAAGCAACATCAAGTTACCTATCATTGTGTCGCTCACCTTTGTGACAATGATTACAGCTTATGCAGGGCATAATTTAGGACACCTTTAGAACAGCTCTAGTCTTGTGTCTGGAAACAGCAAAAAGCCGAAGGAGCTGCGAACATATGACATCTTACAAACAAATGGTGTCACCTAACTCATGAATTTCTGAATGTCACATGAAGATGGGCGATATGACAGTCTGAGCCAGTGCCTCTCCCTGCCATGGCTTTGGCTGAGGCTGTTATTTTGGGGGTCAGTGGGTGAGGGCCCCAGGGCCACTGCCTGGTCCGTGTGGATAGAGAGAGGGACACAGTTATGTGAAACCTGAAAATAAAGGTTCTGGGGAAAAAAAACAACAAAACAAAACAAACAATAACACATACAAAGTTGCATTCTCTATACTATTATCTGGCCTTTTTAGGTCTGGATTAATACTTGCTTCACTGGATTACCATTTTGCTCTTAGGACCTATGACCACAAATAAATAAATCCTCAAATGGTACTGGAACTTCGGTGGAGCTATCTGAATGTAAGGATTTCGAAGTTTGGTGTTTGGCAATACACTCTGAATGTAAAAGACAATGGCATGTGTTTGGCTATTTGAGAAAAATATCGCTGTTTTTTCTGTTGTGTGTGAAAAATGGGCTACCCATTGAAAGAGGATCTTGCTCCACATTGCTACAAGCATTTCATGCATATTCACAAAGAAGCAGTTTTGAAAAATTCGCTGATGTGCTTGCTGCTGGAGGTAGAGGGGAATATTAAACATCCCATTTCTTCACTTCTGCTGCTGTGTAAATACAGCGTGTGCTGTCCTGTTGGGATTAGCTAGTGTTTGCTCAAGGTGGGAGAGGTGTTTTTGGAAAACAGGTGGCTTGGGACTGGATTTTCCCCCACAGGAATCACTAAAACGGAAGCTGATTTCAGGTTGTTCTCTGTAATTTTTACTGTTGGCTCTAAGTGGAAAATACCCAAAGCAGAGAGTCCATGCGACAGGTTCTAGCTTACCTCGGTCCTCTCCACCATGCCACAGGATGGCTGTCCTACACACATCGCTGTCCATGGAAAGTGAAAAGGCCCTTTGCTATCATATGTTCAGGAAAGTACTGAAAACATCAAGGATTTAAGGAAAAAGAAACTCCCCAAGCTGCCTGAGACTCTGTGGTACCTAACTTCCCCAAAGTCCCTATTTGCTATTTATTTTCATTTTAATTGTCAAAACACACAAATAACGTTGTCTGGGTTATCACTGGTGTGAAGAACCCACAGATTTTGGTCCGGCCTTTCTGTTGCCAGTACAACTAATGAGGAAAGCAAAGCAATAAAATAACAGCCTTTGGAGGGGAACGTGCCGCGTGTCTCCTCTGCCGTGCATTAATTCAGTTCTGCCATGCGAAATGGCACCTTCTCCTGCAGAGAGGATTGGAGAAATGTGAAACATATCAGTACGGGGAGGGGGGGGGAGGAATCATTACCATAATGATAGCCATCACACCAAAGAGTGAGGAAAAGTGCAGAGAAGCACATAACTGTTTTTCCAGCTTTCAGAAGTGTCTTTCTGTTACAGGATGAAAAAAAAAAGGCTTCTCACAAGCTGATGAGGCTTGGGGTTTGTTTGATGTCTGAGCTGACGGCGAGCAGTCCTGCAGGGGGCTGTGCTGCTGGCTCTGAGCACAGCGTCCCACAGCCCAGAAGCTGAAGAGGTGCTTCAAGAGGAGGGAGCTGGGGTGCTGCAAAGGCAGGACGTGGCCGGGCCTCTCTGCACCCTGTGTGTTTTGCTTTCCAAATATGAACATCCTCATGCTGGCCAGAGGATGGTGATTCCTCCATCCCTGGAGAGGGCTGCAGCTCTGTCCCCTGCCGAGCAGGGTGCCTGGTGCTGGCCAACATCTCCTGGCCCGTGCTGCCCAGGCCATGCAGGAGGCATCCAGCTACCGCCGATAGCAAGGGGGCAGAAACCTGCTGGTAGGTGGTTGTAGCCTGGCAGCTCCTCACCATGTGCCCTCCTGAATTATGGCAGCTGGGCATTAACCATTTGCTTTTCCCTGCTCTTTCTGTGCACGGGGCATGAGGCTGTGCTGCGTTATTATAGGTTGAAAAATGGACCCTCCCAATATGAGGCAGGACGGGCAGAGTTTCAATTTTTGTGTGTATGCAGAAGCATTATCACCCGTACACAATTACAAAGCTATATATTTAGTGTTTGCATGCTTGGTTAGCTGATTTGTGGATGCAGGCTGTCAGCGAAGTGCTCGATGCTGTTAGCTCCAGCCCTGATTTCAGAGGCAGGGATGCAAATAACGCGGTCACGCCTGTCTGGAGCACGGGGTCTTTGAGGGGGGATGCATCTGTGCCATGCATGCACCCTTCTTGTGGGGCAGGAAACAAACCTGGACTGAGATTTCAGGGACTGCAAGATAAAAGGAAAATAGTTCCACGGGATTATAAAGCAAGAAATTAAAGGTTTTAAAATTGCTTGGGCATTTTTTTTTTTTTTTTTGAAGTGAAATATTTAAGAAAATGGCACAAAAGAGTGCAAAATGCTCCCTTCATTACAAAGAAAATGATGGTGTGCTTTACAGTGCAATGAGCAGGGTGTTTTCAGGTTGTTCTGACCCTGATGGGGAGCCTGCTGAAGCAGGGTGCCCGTCACCAGGTATGTGCCGTGCATGATTGTTAGGGGCTGTCGGGAAGCTCCGAGCACTCAGCATTTCTGTGAGAAAATAAAACTGGTTTTAGAAGTTTTCTCTTGAGCGCTGTGTTTAGGCAGGAAATACTTCATTTCTGCCTTAGCCACCGGCTGTTTTAGTTGCACTCACTTGGCAGTGGGCAGGACGGGTTCAGTGCAGCCGATGCCATGGCAGATGTGCTCTGGAAGCCCTCCTCTCATCACTTCAGCTTGTCCCAGGAAACCTCCGGAGTGCGATCGTGAAGCTCTGCCCACTGAAACCTGCCTGTTAGCCCGTGGTTATTCTAATTCCAGCAGCCATACCCACATAAGCAGGACCCATCTTTAGGTTTTCATCCCCTGCCCTGGTTGCTGCAGCCCCACAGCCGGTCCCTTCCCTGTGCTGCTGTGGCCTCAGGCTTAGGGCACAAGTCCCAGCACTGGAAGGGGAAGGAAATCCCAAGCAAAAAGTCCTGACCCAGGGCAGGGGCAAGTCCTGTAAGGTCTGGAACTGCCTTCCGTTCAGAAGTCATTCTCCCTCTGGCTCAAGGGCACTGTGCTAGCTGGGGTAAGCGTGCTCCTTTGATTTAGGCATGAAATGGCAGCGCTGCTATCAGACTGCTAGGAGAATCTGTTTTATCTAAATGAAAGAAATAAAACTTTTTTTTTTTTTTTTTTTTTTTTTTCCCCTTCCTTTTTCCTGGCAACCCTTTGCTTGGAGGCAACAATAATTATAAATCTGTTCTGATACTCAGCTTGGGTTATCTTAATTCTCTCCCATTTCAGGAGCGAAAGGGACTACAGAGCTCACAGAGACACACTTATTTGATCACAAATACAAGGATGGTGCATGACAGTAATTAAATTTTTACTTTCAACTAATTTAATTTGTTAGCAAAACAGGGGGAAAGGCTTTACTGCGGATGGGAAGAGGCAGCTTCTTACACCTGACTTTACTCGCACTTGACTAACTGCTTCATTAGAACACAGGCCAGTTTGGTGGCAGATCATTAATTTTCATGGATGTAATCTGGGAAGCCAAGTAGTAGTAGGAGGCTGGTCTGCCAAAACTGGCATAAATGTGCTAATGCTTATTAAAACTAAGCTGTAAGTCTGTTTTCATGCTGCCTTTGCCACGTTATGAATTAATTGCTGAAATGTATTAAGACAGCAAATACAAAGAGAAGGGATTACTGTGTGTTACAGCAAAGAGCAGGAAAGGCAGGGGTTTCCTACTGAGAGTCTGATCCCTCTGGCACAGGTGATGTTTCCTAGAAAGCAGGACTGCTGATGGAGCTGGCTGTCAGGCTCAGGCGAGAGCAGTTAGGTGTTGCATTTGATGGCCTCTGTTATCAAGGTGTTTGTGCCCTTGCAGTTCAAGTTAATTTCAGTAAAATTACTTATATTAAAGAATATATAGCACTAGGTTGCGAGGCAGTAAGAGTTTTTTATTACTTTTAAAAAATTATTATTTTATTATTATTATTATTATTATTATTATTATTATTATCATTATCATTATCATTATCATTATCATTATTATTATTTTTATATAACATGTTTGCAGGAAAAAGTCCTCCTTGGTTACTGGAAGAAAGCAGTCCTGAGCAAGATGTGTCCAGTGGCAGAGACTGGGGTCCATCTTTAGAGTGATTTTCAAAAAGGATAACACCTTTTCAAAATTTCTTTGCCTTGTGTTCAGAAAGAAAAGAATCTTATTTCTATTAACTTCTTTTTTTTTTTTTTTTTTTTTTTTTTTAATGGTTTAGAAAATCAAAGATTGTAATTGATTTGTACAGCAGATTGTAGTAATACAATGGAATGCAAATAATTCACTATGGGATTTGTCCATTCCTTACTGTCTAAAACAAATTCTGAATTTCTGAGTTATCCTTACAAGATCCGTTAATTGTGTCTGTGGAGATTTTCTCTTAGGCTTGATGCTGACTTCTGCTGGACATGTGATAACTTACTGATGCAGCAGAAACAGAAACTTATTTAAGAAAGTACAAAACATTTATTTTCCTCAGCTATTAGATCGTCAGTGCCCTTGCTTGTTTGTTTTATTGCAAAACTATTATTGCAAGCAGTGGAAATCTGTGCTTGTTTGGTTGTGCAGTGCAGACATTTTCTGTAGTGAATGGTGTCCTTTCTCCTTCCACCTGTTGATAATAACGTTTTTATTTCAGTTTGTAACTGCATTTCTTTACCTTTATTTCTTGAATCCACTTCAATTGCCAATAAAGCCCACAGTCAGGAGCTGGAAAAGCTATTTTCACAGCAGAAAACATTCTGCCCAAACACGTTGTAAAATTAGGACAGATGCATTGTTTTTTGAAATACACGGATATGAAATTTGATGGTAGCACTTCAAGCTTCACTCATTTCATTCCAGGCTCTGATAAAAGTGGCATTAATGGAAAATGTTTTCAGAGCAGTTTTGTTCCCTGTTGCAGCGGGAGCAGTGTCAGAGCCTGGAACAGGAGGCACGGGGAGAAGGGAGGTGATGCCACTGCCCGTGCTGGACGTCACCTGCTGACACTGAACGGGGCCATTTAATGTGGGCCATGAGACATACAGAGTGTTTACCAGTAGTTTTTTGTCTCTCTTCAAAGAGCCTGCCAAATGTCAGGGCTTGTATGTGCCGTGCCACGTACCCACACACAGAAATCCCCCAAAGTGTAGAGCTTTCTGAAGTTCTCTGATTTAGCCATGGGACGTGAGGCCAGGAAAGGAAAACGCCGATCTCTGGGAACTCAGTTGAAGGAGGTCAGAGCCTTTTACAAGCCATGCACACCGTGAACTCGCACAGAATATAACAGGTTTCAAGGGTCTCACCAGTGTAAGGGTGGTTTAAGCACTTCACGAAATTGGTCTCAAAATTGTTATAAGATTATATATGATGCAAGCAATTTACCCCCTTCCAAAGACTCCAGCTGAAGGCTGGCGGTAGTAAACATAATTGTGTTTACCATTCCCAGTTTTGCAGAAGAATTTGTTGATTTCCAGAACAGTTAAATTGATTTTATACCTTTATGAGCACACAAAATAGCAATTAGTCAATGGTGTATATTGGATTTTTGACAGGTATAAAATTATAGTGCCAATTATTTCACCCAAGTCAATGAACAACATTCATTTCAAACAGCAGAGGTTTTTGAACAATCTTTAGAACAGTGCTGACAGTAGAAATACAGCAGTTCACTAAATGTTTTAAAGGTAAGACTGCCTTTAAACTGAATAACAACTTTGGTTATGTGTGTGTACTGTGTGTCTGGTACAATTTTTCCTATAATGGTGGCCACTTCCTTACAAACATATACCCTAAATTTGTTAAACCTTAACTATTTAACAGTAATGTAATAGTATCTGAGGTCTCTTTGGTCTTCAAACTTCCCAGAGGCATAATGGAAAGAGCACTGAGCTTCCTCCTTACAAGAAATAAATTTGTATCATCTGAGCACAGAAGCTCTCTACACATTTGTAGCAGTTATTTGGTCTTTTGGGTAGCTGCAACATCACATTTTACTCCAAGGCAAGTGAAATTTCACACCTCCAGAAAGGTTGGTGACTGCATAAAGGTTTGGTCTAATTGGTATTTAATTTCAATTATTTCATCTATCTGCTTGTCAAATGAGAAAATGACAAGTTCAACAAGCTCTGCAACTTGGCCCTGCCACTTGCTTGACTTGGGTTGTTGATGAAAGACAGCTTATTAACTATGCTCCATTATATTCAGGAGAAGATAGCATTTTTAAAACAGAAATGCATTATATAGGAAGCTGCTGAACTTATACACCTCTCAATATAACAGTTACATCAATTACAGTAATTTTGTAAATTACATATTTCAGAGATTGCCTTCAAAGTTTGCTTCTCTGAAAGCAGAATTTTAAAGGAACACGGTGTTCTTCATTGGTGATATTCTTGTTCTAATAAAAGCATGCAAATAATAGAAACTTGTTATAAACATGATTCCTATGTAATTTGGAAGCCTGGCTGAAGTGAATTGCTTTTATTACTCATGGGGAAGGGATGCACAATTGGTCATGATGAATACAGGAGGATGTGTTTTCAGAAAAAAAAAAACCAAAACCAACCACCAGAGAAAGTTCCTGAGATCTTTCTGCTGCAAAGCTGTCCAAACACATGGCAATGAAACGTCCCCACAGTGCTGACAGCCCAAAGTGGGAAGGGAAATCCTGCCGTGCTCATGGGATGGCTTTGTCTTACCTAGAGGGGGAAAGGTACAGGTGGTACTCCGGCGGTTTTAAGGATTTGATTGCTGAGGGTTTTTATTCACCCCGGTGCTACAGCTCGTGGCTCTGGGGGTCTCCACCCCCACTGAATCTGGGTCTCACGTGCAGCAGTGACACTCAGCAGCCTGGAGGCTTCTCTCCAGTGCCAGGCTGGGGGGCGGTGGATGTTCATACAAACATCCTTCCTGGAAAACACATTGCCACTGCACTTCCTAGTTTCACCATTTCAAGTGAGGAGTTTATTAACTCTTCCCTGACTCTGAACACACCTTTATTACTAATTTTATCATTTATTCTCCCATTTTTCTGTACGAAATAATCAATTAATCCATGGTTTCCAAAAACTTTTCTAGCACTATAAAAAAATCTCTGTTTATCTTTTGCAAACTTTCCTTCATTTCCAATCATTCTCAGCATCATTTGTTAGCGTTTCTCAGATTTCACTGTATTTTTTCAGCTCTGCTATGCAGCAGCATCTTCTGACAGAGGCTGCAGGCAGTGCATCTGTGGCTCCTGTGGAGGTGGGGGTCTGAGAGGAAGGTGAAGTGTGCCAGCTCCTAGACAAAATACATCGCAGGACAGCGGTATTTACAAAGCTGGCAGTCCCTGCACTCAAGCAATGCAAGGTGCAAGGATGACTTTTTCCCCAGCTCTGTTTATTGTGATGCCAACTGAGACTGAAGAGCCTGTTCAGGCAAACTGTGATCCAGCTGTACATTTGCCTCAGGATACACATTTTAGTTACCTGTGCATACAGCAGATTTAATTTGAAAGGTCTTCCCTTCCCAACATGGCTTTAATTAAATAGTAATTCTATTTCTTAGCTTTGTGACATAGGGATTAGGGCAGGAAGAAATGATTTGGCAAATATCTTTGGAAAAATACAGAATATAATATTTTTATTAATCATTTCTCTCCTAAGGTTAAGCTGGCTTTACCAGCATAAATGTTAAAAAGCAGAGAATTTCATTGCCTTTAAAAGTTTCTTTTTTTTTTTTCTTTTTTTTTCTTTTTTTTCTTTTTTTTTCTTTTTTTTTTTTTTTTTATTACTGCAGCTTTGACTGATCAGGATTGAACTATCCCAACTAATGGCATCATTTCTTTTTTTTTCTTGCAAACAAACGAGGACATGAGAGGCATGATTTATCAGTATTCCAGAGAGTTTTCCTAGTCAGTGTTTCTAGCCACATCGCCTGATTTTTATAAACTTCATTAGATTATAATCAATGCATGTGTGAGGCTGAGGGAGATGAGAAGTATGATTTCTTATTCTTAACTGCCATAGTAAGCGTTTATTAAGGCACACTTTTCCTGGCATGGCGTTACAAGACAGAAATATTGAAAAACAGCAGGCATCCCACAGGGCAGAGTTTGGTAATCAAGATTGCATTAATGCTAATGACAGTGGCTGCACAGCTTATTTCCTGAGAGGTAGAAGTTATTTTAACCAACAGCTTTTGTGATAGAAGTGGAAACTGGGAAAATTTAGGCTGCTTCAGGCTTGTGCACTGGACTCTGGCGTAGGATACAGGAAAAGAACCCACCCAGAAAGAGGAGCACTGCTGGGACAGCCTCGGGGTTATCAGATTTGGAGGATGCAATGCCATCTCCTTGGGGTGAGCGTGGGTTTCCTGCCCTGTTGGCCAGCATTTAGCAGGATTTGTCCCCTCTGGGGCTGCCTGGGCTGCAGCAGTGTGCTGAGAGCAGGGGCGCCCATGTCCCCTCGTCCCCATGGGGGCCACCTCTGGGTGCACGGCAGGGTGGAGGAGCACCACCCAGGAGCATCCTCCTGGCATGAAGCCTCTCCTGTTAGCGAGGTGCTGAGCTGAGCCCCCAGGTCCTGTGCATGCAGATGGGGAGGAATGCTTCCTGCAGCCCCTCCAGGCTGCGCTCCTGTGCCCACAGTCAGCACCTTTGCTTGTTCCTTCCCATGGTACGCAGCGCTGCTGCCTCCTGTCTCATTTGTGATCCACACTGATCCCAGGACCTCTTCTGCAGCACTGCTGCTTAACCTTATTCTTATGTTCCTTATTCTGTATTTCTATTTTACGAGACTCTAAATGGAGAATTTTGCAATCATTTTGATTGAATTTTATGCTTTTCATGTCTTTTTAAATTTTATTTTATTGTATTTATTTATTTTTTTCCTTCCCTTCAGGCTGTTTTTCATCTTTGGCAAGGTCACTTTGAATTCTGATCTTGTCTTTCAATGTATTTGCAGTCTCTGTTAGCCTGCTATCATTGAGAGATTTAATAAGCATACTCTCTGTTCCATCACCCAAATCACCAGTGAAAATTCGGAGCAGTGGTGGATGCTTTGCAAACCCTGCAGGCTTCTATTGATAGGTGCATGCCTGTCAGCAGTGGGCTGCTCCTAATTGCTCTTTGTGTGTCCTGAAGACGGGTTCCTGCTGCTCTCCTGTGACAACATGATGTGGGACAGGGTGAAGGTCCCCTGTCACAGGCTGCTCTGCCCACTGATCCTATTGCCTGGCCGCAGAAGGAGGCCAGGTGGGCTCAATGTGGTTTGTTCCTGACAAAGCCATGTCAGCTGTTGCTCATCCCTTGTTTTTGCTGGAGGCTCGTTAGCTGATTTTTCCTAGCTGTTCCAAAAGCCGAGGCTGAGCTGGCTGATATATAATGTCCCACGGCCTGCTGCTTTTGCCCTGTCTCAGTGGGGGTGATGTTTGATTTTTCCTTGCATCTGGGGCTCCTGAGCAGGCTTCCAGAGGTAGCTGCTAAGGGCCCTGAGGCTGTATCATTGCTTACTGAAGTGCTAGGGATGGATTTTATCTGACCCAAGCTGAATGAAAGCATTTAGCTTAGTTACCCTCTGAATTTTCCTTTCTGTATTGTCCAATATTTAGTTGCTTTTGTTAGCTATGCTAGCAGCTACGTGGTCGTAGTTTGTTCTTTAGTGAAGGGGGGAAAAAAAGAGGACTTAAACTTTTCTTCTTTCTTGATAATCAGAGTTTTAATAATTTGATAAGCCTTGTTAGATGGTAATTTGGGCTGAAGATACAGATGTGTGAATTAATGCTGTAATGGTAAATATAAGGGAATGACTAAGATCCTTCACCCAGCCATCGTCTTTCTGGCTGAGAAGGGCTGTGCTTCTGCCAAGAAAGCTCAGTGTCTTTTTATACATTTCACCTTGGCAGCACTTAATTTAGGGTAGTAGTTTGCTGAGTCTACTTGAAATCCATCGTTATTATTTTATGGTTCTTTTACTCTTTCTTGAATGTTGGAAATTGTGGGACCGAATGGGGACCGGTGGCTGGAATGAGGAAATTCAATCATAACAGCTCCTGGTGGCTTCAGTTTGTGTCAGGAGTGTGAACAAGAAAGTGTGTGCAAAGCAGCTGAAAAGTAAATCAGCAATGGCCAGCGCTGGCAATGATTGAAAATAAATGACATTCTGACTTGGGCTGCCATTTGGCTGCTTCCCTGGGAAGGTGATGCTTGATCTAATATAAGCTTTTAGCAGCTATTGTTTTTCAGATTAACTTTTAGTTTTAATGAAGTGGAATAAATGAGTTTGAATTAGTTATCATGCTAAAAAGAAGAAAGAACATGAAAGTAGTCAGTTAATTTGACAGGTCAGGCAAAATATTTCACAAATTAGCAGCGCGTTTAACTCTAATGAGATGTGATGACTTAAATTTCTCTGTGTAATGCTATCAGCAGGAATGGGATTGCACCAGACTGTGTTTGGCAGGATAACTTGGCTAAAACTGCAGTCTTAAGTTGTTCCAGAAGTGTAATGGGTTATAAAACCCAGGTGCAGAGACTGCCTTTTTTTCTGAATTAAAAATGAATCGGATCAGTCTGGGAGATCTTAATACATCTGGGTTTGAAATGGCTTGAAGCTGAGTCTGAGCTTGGTGGGTGCAGCGTTCGATTCCTGTTCATTTGCGGTGATACCGCTCAGCAGCAGTAAGGGAATTCAGGTTGTGCTGTTAAGTGCTTCGTTAACTTCAGCAATTTTCAAGTGCAGCCACTGGGGGCTGTGTGCGGCTCCTGCATGAAGCCTTATTACTTAGCTGTACTTTTGCATTAACCGTGAAGAAGTTAGTCACTTAGCTTTATTCTTACGGCTTTTGCCAAGACAAAGCTTTGGTTTTCTGTATCATCTAAAATATTCATTTGTTCATCGTGTGTATACAAAACAGACTGTGGCAAGAAAAACACCTGCTCCCCACCTACCCCTGCAAAAACATTTTGAACACTGGTGGCTTGGAGCATTTTGGACCACAGAGCTGAGGAGCATCCCTGCTGCTGCTCCTGGAGCAGGCTGTCTGCAGGCTTCTCCCTGCCCTGTTATTCTGGGAAGTCCTCGGGGCTGATACCAAGAGATGGGACTGAGCCAAGGCTGGTGAGGGACCTGCCCCCAGCCCTGCAGGGGGGTCCTCACTGCCCTGTTCCCTCTGGGGTGGGATGGAGCCCAGCAGAACTGGACCTGGTGTGCTGTGTGTTCGTGCTGGGCTTCCTCACAGCCACCTGGTGGCTTCTACTTCGGGAAGAGTGTCTTTCCTTTCGTGTGCCGTGTCCCAGCAGGTAAATGTAGACAAGCCTGCTCTTTTTTTCCCGACAGAACCAATTCAAGGCACTTCTCCCTCAATAAATATCATGAAGAATTAAAGAAATTTTTGTTATTTTCAGAAAGCACAAAGCATTTGAAGTTGTTAGACAAAACACTTGAATCTGATTAAGGAACAATTCAGTGAAGAAAACCTTGATGCTTATTTTTAGTATTTGATTCCATACCATACAAATTCAAATGTAAATTGTGCTTTGGAGAAGAATGCCTGCGTGAAAAGCTGAGAGCATGTGTTGTGTGCTGAGTGTTTTACAAATGGATTATCTCAGGCCTGGATTTGTGGTTCCTGCCTGTGGGCAAAATTCCACCTCAGTGCTTGCACTGCTGTTAGTCATACAGCCGTATGTGTATTTCTCTGTTCTACATGTTGTTGATAGAATTGTGTGATTAAATAGGAAATATTTTTTTTATTCAAGAGCTTGTGATCAGTATGTTTAGGTTTGAGTTTGGATGTAAAATCTGAAATAAGCCATGAACAGTAGGCTAAGGACCGTTTCAGTCACACATTGCTGGCAGGACTGGAGTGCCAGAGATCTTGGCTTTTCTAAAGCCAAGGGATTAGGTGGTGTCCTCAGCAGTCTCGAACAGTGGCCTGCAGGTGAGGTGACAGAATGAGGGCTGCCTCTGCTGTTAGCCCCAGCAGTGCCTGAGTCCAGCAGCTCACAGCCAGGCCAATGCAGGTACTGAGATTTTTTGCTTTAAAAAAGGCATTATATGGTAACTGTATTATTCTCTGCTTTGCTTAATTATGAACTGAAATTAGCTAGTTCTTCAGCTCCCTAAACACCTCAATGTATTTCACAAAACTTAAATCTCTGCAGTCAGTAAAACTGGATTCAGTTTGCCAGCTCTGTAAGATTTACAGTGGGGTGGCTCTGATGCTCTGATGAGATCCTCTCATCCTTGTCTGGGCAGATTTAAGGCTCTCTCCTCCCTGTGCCAGGTGGACCCGGCTGTGCTGCCTGAAGAGGTTCCCCTCTCTCATGGGGAGAGGCAGCTGGGTGGGCAGGTGGGGCAGCTTTCTGGTGGGCTGGGAGTAGGCAGCGACTTCGGTTTCAGCTGCAGGGATGGCTCGGAGAGCTGGAGGCTCTTGCTTGTGTCTGTGGTTCTCAGGTGGCCACCTCCTGATGGCTGCTGCTGTGCCCAGGGGATGGTGTGAGCCAAAGCAGCGTGGGTCCTGCAGGATGGGTCCAGGTGCATGCTGTGGTGGATGCTGGGGACTCAGGTGGAAACCAGCGTCAGCCTGAACTCAGCTTCCTGGCTCTCTGGTTTAACTGTCCCCATGAGTTCTGTGATTATTGTTATTTTTTAAAGTGGAAGATACCTGTTCTTCCGAGAACTGCAGGAGCTGGAAAAACTTGAACAAACAAAACATTAAAAAAAAAATACACTGCCTTTGATGCTTCCAGACTTACGTGCCAAATCGCACTGGCAGCCTCACTGTGGAGGCTTTGTAAGGATTCTTAGAATTTTTCCTTTTTTAAACTAGCTTCACTTCTAGAGGCTTTCCTCCTTTTCTAAACCTAGTTTGTACTTTCCTGCACAGCTACAAGAACTTTCTTGCATGTGAAGGCTGTCATCTGAGGACTGAACTCAATGCCCTGTGAGCTGCAAGCACGTCCTTCCCTGGCTCAAAGCAAAGCTGTGTTCCTCCGGCAGAATCATGCAGCTGATCTGTGGCAACACCACTTTCAGGGAGGTGTTATCTCTATTTTGCACTGCAGAGTAGCTGGAAACATCAGACCTGTAGCACACACGCATGTGGCTGCAGTGAGCTTAATGAGTGTGAAGCTGGGGAAAAGCCTTTCTGAGCTTGTGGCTTGCAAACTCTGCGACCCCTTCCCATGTTTGCCATCAAATGAAGGGGTTCTGTCCTCTAAGAGATTTTCCTAATCAGAAATACAGGGTTAGGCAGAGGGATTGAGGGAAGTGTTAGACCCTGTGGTGTTATGGTAGAGAGCAGTTTTCTGCTTCAGGGTGGAGTGCCTGGTCCCAGTGAGAGCCAGAGATTTAACCCGAAATGGCCACTGCTGGGGGCTGCGAGCCTGGAGCGCTGCATCCCTCCCCTCTGCAGGGACCAGATGTTGTGAAGCTTCTGCTCTCCACAGTCTTGAAGTATTTGAGTATTAGGCTATAAAATCAGTTTATTTCTCTTAATTGATATTTAACAAAGCCACGCATCCCTGTATTGCCCTGACTATGAGTGTTTGTCCTTATTTTAATGTCCTTGTTACGCCTCAATTGTGTAGATGTATAAGTTTTTTTTTTTCTTCTGCTTCCAGGAACTTTAAATCCTGGTGTTTGGCTATCTCTTTCTTCAGCATTGCTGTTGTACTCTGGTAATATTTCTAAAGGATGTGTTCTACATCCAGAAAATAAATTCAGTGGTGGAGGGCACTCATGTGAAGCAGCCCTGCATCTTAGGTGTCAAAGGTAGATAAAATATGTATCAGCTACCGACAAGCATTAGATTTTGTCACTGTGTTAATGCTGGTTACATATCACTCAGATAGGAGAAACATTTGCTTCTTGATTTATGTTCACTGACAATGAAATGTCCAGGATGATTAATTACAGCCCTAAATGATAGTGCCCTTACTCATACTTCCCTGGCCTGAATGATTGAAATTAATAAATATATTTGTATTGCCATGGAATTTGCCATTAGCTGTTAAAATATTTGCACAATTGACATGCTGTGAAGGGATTTAGTTAAGACTTATTTTTATGATCAGTAACTTGCTACTTTTTCATAGGAGTTTATTTCAGGGAAAGAAGTAGGGGATTCTGAAACTGATTATGAGGTTAAGGATAACAATTTTTCTGATAATACTTTCATCTTATTATGACATCTTTGGGAATTTGTGAGTCCTTAGACCGTCAATTTCTGCAAGCATTTTCAAAGGCTTTTGCCTTTGTATTTTTTTCATAATTAAGTCTATAAATTACTTTGAGAATCTGTACTTTCAAAAGATCAGCCCCAGGCACATACCTGGACTAAATCATGTAGCACTGTCCTGTCAAGAGGAGATCACAGATACCAGAGCGTTCAGAAATATCTTTGTTGCTTGCAGACATGAGGCACTTACAATTACTCATCATTTGGATAACTTTTTATTAATTTGTTCTGATAAACCTTTGTGTGGGGGGAACAAAACAAAGAAAGCAATGACCCTTAGTCATATTTGGCTTATTTGCTCAATGGAAATGCCATATTTTCTGTTTAGACTGGAACAACCATCTTTTAACTCTGAACCTTGTTTGCCCTGAGCCTGTGCTCCTTGTTTAGGCTTCTCGTTCAGTTTTCCTTTAAATGTTTTGCTCAAATGTAATGCTTTATTTTTTATTTTTTTATTCGAACGAAAACACTTTTGTAAAGTTTCTGGCTAGCTTCAGTTTTGACTTTAACTTCTCTGTGCCTCAGTACCCCTGTGTGTAAACTGGAGATAATGCTGCTGCCTTACCTTGTCAGTTTAATTAATGTTGTGGAGCACTCAGATAGTGACAAACAGCAGAGAAAAGCCCAAAGGAAATGAAAAATTCTTTATTCAGAATAGTGTTTGGACAGTATGCAGGAGATAAGGCCTCAGACATGCTGAAAAATGAGGCGAACGCAAAATATTAAATACATGCTCATTAAGTAAAAGGGATCCATCCTATGTGCAGGAAGGCAGGAGCACATGGGAAAATGCTGATGATGCAATTAAAGATGTAAATAAACAAGATGCATGAGGTGAGATCCGAAGCAATTTCTGCATTTCTCGAATGCTTGGGTAACTTTCTGTAAACAGTAAATGTATTACAATGACCTTAAAACAAAAGCACTCATTAAAAATATTGACCATTTCAGCTGCAATTAGAAAAATATTTCTGTCAAGATCAATGTAACTTATTACATGTACTTCTGAGTAATTTCTGATAGTGAAATATAGTATGGGTTGCAGGACCATACATCCTATGAAGGAAAATACTTTTTCCTGGATTTCATTTGTAAGGGAAAAAAAGTAGCCATGCATTATAGGTGGGGGTGATTTTATTAATACAAGAAGCTTCCCCTGACATGCCTGGAAAGGTACAAGCTTCAAGATGAATTAGTTTTGCCACGCATACAATTTTGTCAGTGACATCAGGGAAATGATATTCAGTGCTCTGGGGCTTCCAGAAGGATTTCAGAAGTCAGAAGGAGAAGGAATGAGTGGCTGCCACATATATTAATTCATTACTTTTATTGTCTGCTAGAGCATCTACAAGCAGATAACAAGTTCCTTTAGATCTTACTGTAAGAAACCTCGTATTATTGGTTTGCTAGCTGAGACTGGGAGGAAACCTGAAGTGAAGGTCCTTTAAGAAAATGTAGCTAGTGCATGTTTGGCTCTTTTGTGTGTTAGAGGAAATACCAAACAAATGTTAAATATTTACTACCACTCCTCCCCAGCACTCTGCTAGGTCAGGTTTCAGTAACTTTCTCTGCACAGAAATCTTGCAGCCATCTACTCACTTGCCTGGCTGTTAACCCCAACCAACTGCGTGGTTCATGAGAGCAGGGAGTTTAGGGGGTGATTTCCTAATCAATAAACTGAATTGATTAGAAGCTCCTGGCTTGCAGTCAAGCTAATAATTACCACCTGTACCTTGTCTGAAGCACTGATATGCTTTGTATGTGCATGTGAGCCTTCTATTTCTTCAGAGTGGTCCTTTCTGGGTGGCTTCCAGTCACGCTTGCCCAGTGTGATTGTTTATTCTGAGTGCAGGCTGCTTTGACATCGTGTTATGTTGCACCACGTACAATCTGACATCCCCTATGATCTCAGAGGATCAGAGGACGGGGGGTCCTGTGGCAATAAAATAAATGCTTTTTTTTTTTTTTTGACAGTAGCAAATGCCTGTGAACCTTCCATCATTCTTGCTGGCTCTTTCCCATTTGCATCAAGGAACATGAAAAGTGATAAATGCTAAGAGCAAGAACCCCGTGATAGGAATGTGGTATTGCTGTCACTGAGAAAGAAAACTTTGCGTTTAGAGAATAGATCTGAAATGTTAACCAGAAAGCCCATATAAATCTATACCTGTTTAAGATGCGTGATTGTAAAGTCATTGTCACAGATGGCAAAGAAAATAATTTAAGTACTGTATATATGCATAGGAGTGTGTTCATTTACATGGCTTTCTGCAGTAATAGATTCTTACAGCGCTTCTAGTTTCACTGGCTTTCTGTATTTGCAATCAGATCAAAATAAATTAATATAGCAGCCTCTGAATTGCCTTAAAGGGGAGATTTATGGCCCTTATTGAAATGATGAGAAAATCATTTAGGAGGGACTAACAAATAGTTGATTGTGGTGCCAAACGTCTCTGGCAAATAGCAAGTGCTTCTGATGTTTATTGAATGAATTTTCTTCATCTCTTTAGATCTTGTGATCAGCCAGATCTGCTGTTTCAATGGGATTTGTGAATGGGACGAAGTCTAAGCCAGCAGACGTGTTTTCCTTTGATGCCTAGGAAATGCTGAATCTTTCCGTTATTATGCAGATATTCATCCTTTTGTATATAATTGTAGGGGAGAGAACTGGTTTCCAGGATTGCTGTAGTGGCTTCCTGCAGCCAGATGCTGAGGCCGTGCTGCAGATGTATGAGAATGCTGGTGAAAAGGTGCGAGGTGAGCTCCTGAGCATGCCTCTCCCTTGGGATGTGCCTGGACAAATTGCTTAATTGGTTCTCAATGAATTTGCTGTGTGCTATTACCATCCTTTCACAGACAGTCTTACAGGGGCGTTGATCAGCTGTCTGTAAGTTGTCAGCACACCAGGGCTCTTGGCTCAGCAGCTCTGTAAATACGGAGTATTGTTAGGCGAGATCTAACATGTGCTGCTTTCAGACTCACTGCATTAGCTGTGCATCTCATCAGAGCTGCCTGGCTCTGAGTGCATTAACTCTCATCCCTTTCCTGAATCAGACCACGAATAAGTGCACTGCCAGTTTTGGTGGCCCTTCCGAGAGGCCATCGTGATGGTGATTTGTTTGAGCAAGGGTTTGTGCCAGGACTCCTGTGCCCTGTCTGCTTTTACTTGTTGGCTTGCTGGAGGACTCCCAAAGATTGCCAGGAAAAAATAAAAATAGAGAAGGAAATGAAGTGGCTGCATGCTCCAGAGAAGCACAGGACCAGTGGAGAGGATGCAGTTTGTGTAGCTCCCTGGAGATCGGAATAAATTGCTTTTCATGGCTACAGTAGAAAATTGTATTGAAAGAGGACTGGAAGAATGCATTTGGCTTAATTCCTGCCCAACAGAGTACTGTGAATTGCAAGCTAGGAAAGGAATTCAAGCTATTCTTGTAGATATTGCTTTTTGACTTTGTGTTCTCCAGCAAAGCATCACCTGCTGCTCTGCATCTACGGCACTGGACTTGGAGCAGCCAGGGCTTGCCCCCAGCTGTGTCCCAGCCTGCCCCTGTGGTCAGAGCACTTCAGGTGAAATCTAGCAAGCCGCGTGCTTGTATCTTCATCTTTCTGTATTCTTTTCTTTAGGCTCTGTGAAATGGATGCTGTTATTTCTTGTATTTGTACTTTTATGTTGTAAACTCTTCAAAATAGATTATTTTCCTTAGAGTATGGATGCACGGTCACCCGTTAAGTCTCCAACAGTGGGTTTTTATTTCAGTTGTGGTCTCTTGGTGCCACTGTAATCCAGGTGCTGATACCAGTGGCTGTGGCTGTGCCTCCTGCTGCACCTCGAAAGCCCATCACGCATCCTGCACGCCCCACAGGCAGCAAGGCTCTGCCTGGTGCAGGAGCCCTCACCCCAGGACTCTCATGGCTGTGGGAAGCTTGATGAGAAATTAATTCCCAGAGAGGCTGTGGCAAGGCAATGGATAACTCTTCCATACAGCCAGTTTGCCTGGCATATGTTTAGGCTTTCTGCCATGCTGTAAAATGCCATGTTTGTAGCGTACAGAGGGTTTCTTGCTTGCTTGTGAACCTGTTGTGAGCTGGAACTGGGAGTTTAGAGGAAAGATATTGTTGTCAGCTGCTGCCCTGCTCCATGTCTGGGAGCTGTTGGTGAAGTAAGCCATAGATTCTGACTTTCACCAGGGTTTGAAAGCATAGGGGATGCATTTTCTAGTAATTTCTGTTTTTGGGTTGATTTTCAAGAGTTTGACAAGCAGCTCAGCACCCCGAGTTTTACAGTTCACTGCTGTTTTGTACAGACAACTTCCCTTCTATCCCAGTGTTTATATTGACCCTTTCATTGATTTATTGTGATCATTCTTCAAATTCCTTGGGAAAGAACCGACTACCTCTTGGCATTGAACATAGAAACCTTTTCGTTATAGATAAGCTTCAGAATGGCAAATCCTGTAGGAGTTGGAAAATAACTAGTTACATCTCCTATAAGAGGTTTTGTTCAAAATTAATTGAAAAGAGGAAGAAATGATTCTAGAGGTGTCATGATGGAGTTTACTCTGACTTTTTAATTCTTCTCTGTCCCTGCTGTGTCAGTGAAACTGTACTTGCCATCTTTATGACTATCCTAGCTTGTTTGAGACACATGCCTATAAAATTCTTGGTGTGTTGTATAAGGAACATAACTCATGTTCTGAAAGTTTTTTTTTTTATTCCCTAGTTCTTTTGTTACGGACTGGCATTACCTGTGGCTGTCTGCGTGTGCATGTGCCTCGAGAGGGAGATGTGAATCCAGAGCCAGGCTCTAAGGGTGGAACTGCATCAAGGACATAACCGAGACCCGTGAGTGCCTCGTGTCAGAGGGCGAGTGGTTATGTTGCATGAAAGTAAGACCAAGAGTACATTTGTACGACTTAGTTTTTAATGTGCTAGGGGGTTGACATATCGTGGGTAACTAAATGCTATTATGAATTCTGTTAGTCTATAATTACAAAATATGGTTCAGTTCTACTCACGTTGCTTCAAATTGGCTGTGCTACAGGATATGTAAGGCTCCTGCCTACTGAGACAACACCGAGCCCTTTAAATTGTACTTTTAAACAAATTTTCTCATTGTTATTCACCAATACTCACAGTTACCCTATGCAAATTCATGAATGGTTATGAATTCTCCTGGCTCAGTTTGATATTCATTGTTAGATTAGCACCTGCTCTTCTTTCTTCAGGGAAATCATAGAAATTGCATCTCTCACGATTGATAACAAATATTCTTTTCTGAAAAAAAATACACATTAAGATACAAAAGATCCCTTTTATACCTAGTCAACGGGTGCCCCACATAATTTCTGGAATCTTTTTTTTTTTCTTCAGGAATTTATTTTACAAGGAAGTTCTGATAGCTGAAATTCTCAACCCTTTGCATGGCAAAAGAGGCCTAAACACCTCAGGATGCTGGTGGAACAGACAGCAGTGAAGTGTGTGTGTTTGGTGCTCGTGTGCTGTAGGAGCCCAGGAAACAGAGTGGCTGTGCCTCCACAAATGTTTTCTTGTCTTGTTTATACAGTGAGGATCTACAAATAGCAATGCTTCTGCAGAGGTAAAATAGGCAAATAATTTATACAAAATCTTCAGCTATCTCACCTCTCCTGCCTGCGATGGTGCGTGTTCACTTTGGATGTGATACTCTCCAGGCAGTGACAATGATTCTTGGGCTGTAGCTTGGAGACCATTTGAGAGCTTTAAACCTGTGGAGTTTTGCTGCACTCCTGGATCCCTCCTGTGCCTCAGTTTCCCTGCCTGTAAAACAGACTTCTCCATCCATGTGCAGAGAGGATCCTCCGAAGCCACTTTGAGCTTGCAAATATCAAAGATTGAATCCTAAACAAAATCAGATGCCCTCCTGCCCTGTGAGAAGTAGTTCTGCTCCTTGTAGGGGAACTCTAGCAGAAGCCAGAAGAGCTTTGTGCTCAGAGTGCCCGAAGTGACAGAGGTCATCGCTTTCTGAGTCCACATCCTCTTTACAGCCAAAACCCAGCTTTGGTATCTGAGCAAAAGGCCCTTAGGGTTTTAGTCTGCGTTGGAGAGTGTGAGTTAGTGTGCTTTTCTCATTTCTTTCCAAGTTTAACTCCCTTGCAGTTAAAACAATGTACGTGTATAATTTAATGAAGACAGGAGGTTATTTTATTATCTATGCTTTAGATTGTTGCTGGGGAAGAAATCAAAGGGACCTGGCTGCGAGTTCACTTGAAGTAAATTTCATAGAATCATAGAATATCCTGAGTTGGAAGGGACCCTTAAGGATCATCAAGTCCAACTCTTGACACCGCACAGGTCTACCCATGAGAAAACATGTCAGTCATGGAACAAATGTTTCCTGATCTAATTGTGCCCCAAAACATGCAGGGAGAGGAATTTCCCTCATGAATGATGCACGTCCAGGTGACAGCAGAAGAGAAATGGGGAGACCCCGCTCCTGCAGGCACTTACTGGCTGAACATCGAGGTTTGCGTGCACTTCTACAAGAGCAGGATCATCCAGTAGGATACCACACTCTTAAAACAGACTTCTGGGAGGATTTAAACACCTGCAGGGCTTTCATGTTTGCAGCATCACTGTCATCTTTGGCTGTTTCTGATGAGCAGGATAAATGCTGCTTATGTATTTCAAGGAGGAAAATGTGCTTATCCCACTTCAAAGGGACTCCTGGCTGTGGATGCCGAGTGGATGGGCACGTCCCCTGGGACCTGCCGTGAGGATGCCAACCTCCGAGGGAGTGCGTGGTGCCTCCCACTGCCCAAATGCACAGAGCAGTCCTGAGAGCATAATTGGATTTATGTTTTGTTTTGGCCACAGGTCTGTTCAAAATATGTTCTCTCATGTGTCATAGGTTCATGGTAACTGAAGGCTGAATTTACTTATAAAAACATTTCTCAGCATCCTAGTTGAGTAAAACAAGGACTTTGTGGCACTGTCAGCAGTAGGTAGAAACTGCTGTCTGCTTCTGTCCATGAAAGTTTCAGTGCTAGACTGTTATTGGACTCCTCCTGGGTAGAAAAATGAAAAATGCATATCTTAAATAGGTGTGAAATCCATTATGGAAGAAAACCATCGGTGTTTGAGTGATTATTACTTTTTTGTGGGTTGATGGAGGTTCTCTAGAAGTCATTTATGAGCACTAACATCTGCTGACTGTTATAGCACATCTGCAGGAGACAAATGTAAATAACTCGTGTTTTGGTACTTGACAAAATTCAGCAGTACATTTCTGGTTGTAATTGGTCTGTATTGTTTGCCCCAGAAAGCAGTATTAAGACTGTTGCATACTAAAATATCTAGCTGGATTGTATGATGCAAATAACATTGAAACTTTATTTACAGCTAACTAAGCTTTGTTTTATTTGCATTCACATTAATTCCTATTAGAGTCCAGGTTTTACATCTTTGAGAGGTTACAAATTCTGCTCTCTGCCAATCTCACTTTTTGTGGAAAACCATCAGAGCTGATCTCTTCTGCCTTACCTCTCACTGCAAGGTCCTCCTCTCCGGCTGGTCTGCCCCTGAGCCATCCCAAGTGATGCTCACAGCACTGCTGCTGCCACTTCTTCATCTGCCTTACCCCAGGAGCAAACCCTTCTGCATCAGATTAGCACCCAGCTTGCTCTCCCGTGTGCATCCTCAGGCATGCCTCCGGAATGTAGAAATTTTCTTTAAAATGTAGCTATTTTTCAGGGGTTTAAAACCTCACAATGGGTGTCCTTATTTATGGGCTGAAATATCCCTTTTCACTTCCCATCCAATGCTGCTTTATTTCACTTGTCACCTCAGTCACCATGTGGTGCAATTCATGGTTGCTTTTGTGAGCAAACAGTGATCATGCAATTGAAGCGCTGGACTCTATTTGCTTTTGACACTTATATTTAATCCCCTTTAAATTCCCTCCTGTCACAGGCAGAGAAAATCTGTCTTTTCTGGGGCTCTTTACCAGGTGAGGAGCAGGGACAGTAGATGTTTGCTCCTCAGAAGCATTCTGTGAGTCCATCTTTCTGAAGTGCTTGGGTGTTAGTGTGCTGTGGATGTGATGACTGATAGAGAAACACGTACATTTGGTCTGTGCTTGAACGTTATCCCAGTATAATGCACTGGCACAAGAAATAATTGTGTGCTTGAGATGACAAATATAATGTAGGGGTAACAAATGGGGCTCGAACCTTTCGTAAGAATAAACATACCAGCAAATTAACTGTGTATGCAAACTAAAGGGGATTTAACAAAATGTTCTAATGCATCTTCTAAGTGTGACAACCTATCACATTAAAAAGCTTATGTCTTTGTTTTGTGTTTCCTCAGCCGAAAGCTTAGCACAGTCCCATCCGTGACTGGTTTCCAGCTTGCTATCACAGCATAAGCAACAACAACATCAGTGGTGAGATTCTTCAAGCTGAATAATAGAGGTATTTGTGGGCACAAAATAAGATGACTATATTTAATGGGCTAGAAACTGTGTACTGTGAATTTATTTCTAGAGCTATTTTAGTTATAGAGATACAACAACATTAAACTTCTCTCTATATTCCCTTGCTAATCTCAAGTAGCAATAAGTATGGTAATTAGCTTTCACAAAAATTAGGCATTCAAAGGGAGCTTAATTGCATAACGTCAAGTGGATACAGGAGCTGATAACTTGCTCCCAAGGGCCGGGGCAGGGCCAATATTTGGGCAGCACTGTGTGGCCAGCAGCCTGCTGCCAAAGGGGCGCCGCCACCAGGGCGATGGTGTTTGGGTAGAGCCAGTGCAGAGAGGCTTAGGCAGTGCAGAGGATAAACAATAAAGCAGAGTTATTCCCTGTCGGGGATTTGGAGTCATAGCTCATTAAATTCCATGGCATAATACAAGTTATTCTTTTATTGTGTGAGGCACAGGTACTGCTTTGTTTTGGGCTGATTGATGCGGCACACGTAGCTTTTCCCAAGGTGCCTAATTGAAAGTACCTCGTCAAAGCTGCAAGGTGTGCTGACACTACCTTTGAAGTTATCATGTAACGTCAGAGCCTCCTGAGTTATTCTACTTTATTTTTGCTTCATATTCTGAATGATTATCATTAAATAGATTGATGTTTTGCTGGGAAGATTAATGCATGTAGTTGCATGAGATTTAATTTTAGGTTTTAAATGCAGTTATTATGTTCTGGCTTTAATGGCAACCAACCAGATAGCTGACTCCTTCCCAAACTGTGCTGATCGTCCCTGGAGAGGTTTAATGTGGATATCTATATTTTACTGTAAGACATAAAACTGAAGAAGGCCACAGCATTGCTATAATGACTCCATGGGATGTGACTGACTTCTACTGGCTCTGCAGCTTATTTCTCATTATGGAGAGAGTGCGTATAACCCTCCTTGTGGCCTGGGGAACTCATTGCTCTAAGCTTAACGTGGACCCATCTACCCCATGTTGGCAGAGTTTGGCTGCACACCATGGCTCTGAGATAGCAAGGCAATTTAGTTTTCCTGTTACAGAAGCTGACTTTAACTCTCACATCATCTGCAAAGAACACTCAGAACCTGAAGTTCCCTGTGATCCCCTGCTTGGATGATGTTTTAATGTTTAAGTTGGAGGCGAGCAATGAATTTATTAGACATGAAGCCCCTAACTCTTGGTAGTTTTTTGGTAGTTTTGTGTAACTTCAAGTGAAAATAAAATGGGTTTATACAGTAATTATTGGAGCAAATTATCACCTGAGATAATAGTGGGCCATTTAAAAAGAAAAGACCAAGGATCTATGTGCAAAAGGAAGATAACTTACTTGGCTTGAGATTTTTATAACTTATTCAAGTCCCAGTGGGCTTCCTGTATTCTTAGGGAGTGTCATGTGGAGGATCTTTTGTGCCCTAGGAATGAATTCTCCTTGATCTGGATGTGCTTCTCTGTGAACTTTAGAGATAGGCACAGTATCACAGAAAGGGATTTTTTTTTTTTTATTTGCTATAACAATTTGATATCCTAATCAGAAGTTCAAGAATCTTGTGGTTAACAATTTACATTCAAATAGACTCAGTTTACATCATTTTATACTGTCTGGCTCCCAAGTAAACAATAGCTCTGTCATTTAGATTTTTGATATTTAATGACTGGTCAATTTCCAGCTTAGGGGAAGTTCTAGATACAGACCAGCAATGTGATCTGCAAGCTATTCTGCTCAGATAACACTTGAGTAAGACCAAAATTGGTCGCACAGTTTCATCAGGTTTTCAGAAGGCTCATGCTGTGGTTATTAGTTTCCATTCTCCACTCATGGCATGAATGATGTTCATGCCTTCCTTTTATTGTATAAAACAGTTTAGCATTCTTACTTCTCTCCACCATTACCTATGTTTTGAAATCACACCGTATCTCCAGTGTTATGATCACCACTGGGTTTTTGGATTGTCCCACTCCTGTGGCAATTCCACCTTTGAACTGTGGCACCGTAGCCTGTTTCCAGTTAAACGTAAGGGACTTCTCTTTCAAGTCACCTTGGCAGGTTGATTATGATTCTCCTTGTCTCTCAGATGCCAATCTGTCCCCCCTCCCCAACCCCATACCTTTCCCTAATCCCTACCAACAGAGTTCAGATGGAGAAGAGTTTACAGAAAACCAATATTGGTAGACTTATTGTTGACAATTTTTTCTTTTTAGATGTTTTATTTAATGTTAAAAGCTACCATAAGTTAGATCTAAAATAAAGAGGAAACAACAGTTAAACCCACAAGCAGACTAATCCAGCATTCCCAAGAAATGCTGCTTCACTTATAAGATTTCTACGCTTAGAGGCAGGTAGACACAGGGTCTGTGTGGCTTCACAACAAAAGCATGTACGTGTATATATTCACACACATACATACACACATATATATGTGCTTTTGTTTTGAAGCTAATTCCTGATTATTTCAGGATGTTACTATTTCTGTCATATTGTTAAATGATTAATTAACTGACAAAAGTGTCTATTCTATCTTAAACTTTTAATAATTCTTAAATGCTTGGATGGAGCTGATTCAAACCCTTTTATCAAGGCTTTTCTTCAGAGTTGTTGAGAGACAGAAACACAAATATTTCTGAACCAGCAGCTGTGTTCTAAATTGTTATAGTTTTAGATGCAAAAAAGCAGTAACAGTAACCATCCACTGAAGATGCAAATATAAAATCCAGTATTTTTGTATTCTGGATTTATATTGTACATAATATATAATTTAAAGCTTAAATTGTCGTTTAAGCTGCAGAGCACACATACAAGGTACTTAACACCTGGTTGCTTCCTTTGAGATCAATTGAAATAATAAAATGGAACAAATAATTGTGTTTTGGGTCAAGACAGTGGTAGAACGAAGTTGACTATTGCTCAAGGATATAGCAACTTCATCAATAATACATAGCATGCAGCTATACGAATAAATCTCTTTTGGTATTCAATTCAGTGGTTCCTCATCCTTAGAAGATTAGTTTTGTAAATGCGTTTTGCAGTGGTGTGTAAATTATTACCTTTGGAGAAGTATGGTACGCTTACCGGAGAACTACTTGGAAGGTTCAACAGTGTGTTTTGTCAGTAATGTATGAGAATCACTGATCTTGGATAAACGCAGCAGAGCCAGTTATCATGACTGACATACTGTAGGTAAAATGAATGCAAATTGCAAAAGAGTCCATTACTCTAATAAAACCGATTTGGGGGTCCTGTTGAACTGTGCGATAACTGGACAAAGTTACACATTTCTCCTTCTGGCTTATGCTTATCTGAACAATAAAAAGGTGCAGGGCGTGATAAAATACAACGTTTTATTCATGTATTTATCTGATGTAAGCTGCTAAAACAAAAACACTTTCTTAGTGTTTTATTAAAGGATTCAAAACATGTTTTCTGGGATTTTTGTCTGAAAAGATCTTTTAATGAATCACTTCTGAAAATACAATCAATCTTTTCTGAAACATCAGTATATAGTGGTCATATAATAGTGTGTGGGGGCAGGAACTGTAATCTCTCCCAGGCACAAATAAATCACAATCAATACTCTTAATGAAACTGAGTTCTGCTTGGCAATGTCTCCTGCGATAGGGGTGGCAATTACTCTTACTGCTTAATATCAGTATTTTTTTGGTGACTGTGATGGTCTGATGGTGAACAAAGCAAGGCTGTAGTGAGAGCTAACTGGCAGAAAGGCTCGTGTCACTTGGTACAATTGTGGGAATGGCTGCATTAGGTCAGACCACTGTTATACACTGTAGGAGCCAGCAGAGGAAGCATGGGGAGCAGGTGAAAAAAAATCACTTGGTAATGCTGTTAAACAGCAAAGAAATCACCCTCCCTGCAGTCTTTGCCTATCTGTAGTGACTGAAGCAGTGTCTGACACTGACAGTGTTTGACAAACAATTGTTCTGATAGGATTTGCCATCATCAAAGTGAGGGCATTGCTGTATATTGCTTTTGATTAAATTCTCTGCCAGCTGCCTCGTGTGGGAGGCTGGTGACCTCCAGCCCCGTGGTGTCCCAGCACCTGGGGCTCCCAGAGCTGCCGGGGTCTGGTTCTTAAAAACCCTTCTGGTGCTTGCAGGCTCCCTCTCTCTGGGACGGCCCATCAGCTGGGGTGGCTGAGACTCCAGCTGTGCTTTGCAAATGTGGAAATAATGTTATATTCTAAACTGGTTTTAAAACTGGGATTTTTTTTTCCCCTTTAAAATGTTGCAGTTTTTTCCTCAGCTCAGCAATGCTCGCAAGATACAGCAAAACCAAGTTAGAGAGATTTTATTGGCAGTGCTGCAGTGATGAACAGACTTTCATGGGGGTGTAGAAGAAAAGAGTTAAGCTTGTCACTAGTTGCCTTGAAAAGTTGTGTACAGTGATAACGTAGTCTTGCAGTGTAGTGACTGCCTTCATTATTCCTTCCTTCAGTCTTTCAAAGCCTCAGTCTTTTGTCAGTTGTGACTCCAGTACTTTCTCTCTCCGTTCTTACCACTTAACGTTGTAAGCCCCCTCAGTGCTCTTCTGTCCCAAAATTCAGGATGCACCTATACTCATGCTGCTTATCTAGGAGAGCATAACTCCTATATATTAGCTAACCTTTCTACTGGTAAGATATCATTTATTTTTTTTATTTTTTTGTAAGGTCATAGAGCATTCATAGCATCATAGTGTGATATATATTGAAGTTTTTCCACAATAAAGCTTACAAGGCTGAATCATGACAACTTCTGTGTGGAGCAGTGCCTCTTCTAAACTCTACTTGCATAATTAAATAAGTGCTGCGGAAATAATCAAATGCTATATGCACAGGTCTCAAAGGACAGAGCTAGGACTGACAATCTTAAAAATAATTGCTTACCAGAAATGTTTTCAAACTCTAGTAAGCTAGAGATGATGTTTTCTCAGTCTCAAAAATCTTTATAGAATTACTTGGACTAGAATACTAACATGATTTTAACAGTGACTTTTAATGAGAAATTACTGGCCTTATTATGGATACAAAATTAAGGATGTGGTAAAAATGTCTGTAGCTTTTAGTAACTCATGAAGAATTTCTTTCTACAAACAGAGAATGCCTAATTGATGAATCTAGCTCAGCTTATAGAATAAGTGGAGGCATTAAGATATGACAGTGCGAACCTATTTCTATATGCAGATCTCCAGCAGAAATTGTAAGGCCACAATTAACATTATGCTAATTTCTAGTTTTAGAAATATATTTTACAAAATCCATTAAAAATGCATGCTGAAATGCCAAGCATCTTTATGATGTTGTATTCAAATGTACAAAGGTATGTATTCTTAAAGAACTGAAGGGCTGGCCAGGGTAGATTTAAAGCACATTAAAATAGTTTGGAAGTAGTATTGCAAAGCACAACAATCTGATTTATGAGTAGGAGGAAATTAAAGTGATATGCCATACCTAATTATTTTTGTTTTTGACTTAGAAATATCATAACTGTCATAAAACAAAATTGTCTTTTGATTGTAGTAATATGCATTGAAATAACATGTAGGAAAGTTAATCTTCTGAATCTTATGAAAAAGCTTATTTCATAAGTTTTTATTTTGTACTGTGGATGCATTTCTTCTAAAAGTTCTCTTCTATCTGAAATACTTAATTTTAGGAGTGAAATGAAACTGTGGATCTCATGATGGCCTGATGTGGTTTTCCTCAGTACGAGGAGCAGGGAGGCAGGCAGTGTGACTCACGGAGCTCTGTGATGTGCCTGTAGCCTGAGCACAAGCTCACTGCAAACATCTGTCCCTGTGGACTCCCTGATGTTCTGCGATCTTCCCATCAGGAGAACAAGCCGTGGAAAAGATGAGGTAGTCTCATGTGGCAGAGGCTGGTCCTTAAACAAATTTTGCCATAGGTTTCCTCCATAGCCTTGAGCACATCACTATAGCCTGGTGTGCTGGGGATCTGCCCAAGGGGAAAGTCCAGTAGCCCTTGTTTTGCTCTTTTGAGGACAAGACAAGAACACTCCAGGAGAAGTGGAGCAGTAGATGTAAAAACCTATATGAGATATTGTAGAAACCAAGCTGATTCCCTCAGCAACACTCACTGTGGTCTGACACCTGGCCTCACGGCAAAAGGGAAGTTTTAAATATTCCATTTTGCGCATCATTGGCCATCTCAAAATTGACTGATTTATATTCAACATGAAAACTGGATTTCCAAGTACCTTTAGGAGTGTTGCAAGAAAGCGTCTGGCCTAACAAGAAAATTATTCTGTGGTATCACTGCATAATGTAGCTAATGAATTAAATCTAACAACCTAAGGTTAAATCTTTTTGAGATGTATAAAAATTCACATGAAAATTAGTTTTTGTATTAAAAGTATCATAACTCGTTTTTCTTCAGCCAGAACATACATTACATCAGTGCATTGCTGTATGTACAGTTGTAAGGTGACTGTATTACGCCACACATTTAATCTAAATACCAAAACAATTAATTATTTTCACATTTGTCATAAACCTTGCGTTTTATTTTTACAGTGCATCCATGTCAGGAGTCATATGAACAATGATGGCCAATGCACAATAAGTTTAATTTCAGAAGAATTTATAGCTTTGTTTTAATGACTCATTAAAATACCATTTTGTTTATGGCTTGTCTTCACTTAAGGCAATGTTTGAGAAGTGTTATGTTTTATAAAAATGAAATATTATAACTGAAAAATACTGTTTCAATCTATGAATTCTCTGTGGAGAAGGTACGGTGATTGCCAACAGCTCGGTGACTAACCAATGTTTAAATGCACACTGGCATTTTTCAACAAATATTTCCTGAAGTGTTTTTTATACACAGAACTTGAATCTTCAAGTGGGACAGTGGGATTAAGATGATAGGCAGTGGTAGTTCAGAATGATTCATTTGGGGCTATCAAATAAATCATCTTTGTTATTAAAAAACTAGATTTAGTCATCGAACCTTAACAGCTTCTTCCAGAAGTTGTTCTAATTTATCAATTTAATAAAAATATGCCCTTTTAAAAGTGCTAGTATTGCTAATGTTAAAAGAAATCACATGCATCAAAAGGCCAGGAAGCATCAGTAGCTTTTTGGATGCTGATAGTGGTTTGTTATAACAAACCGCTGCCCCTTCTAGACTCTTAAGCTCACTGTTGGTGTGCAATTACCTTCGTGCTGTATCTTGTTCAGGAATCCCATGGTGTCCATCACAGAGGTAGCTGAGCTGTTCCTCAATAAGCAGTACACCTATATTGCTGACTTGTACCCTCAACAGACACCCACATTTTTTATATCATTGCACATGTGGTGGACTTGGGTGGAACTAATTATTTTTTTTAATTAGAAGAGGGCAAACATCACCCTTGCAAGCACTACTTGCGGGAAGCCCTGATTCTGTGTGTTCCTCCTGGGCGCAGGTTCCTCATTGCAGGTGGTGATGAGAGGGATAGGGGAACTGCTGCAGAGCCTCTGCTCCCAGAAAACATAACCAAATATTTGTGAGTAATTGATAAAAAAAAAAAAAAGAACACAATATATAAATTGAGCAATTTATTTCCAGTTGTCGTAATTTACCTGTGAGTGTTTTGAGGGTTGGCTAATTGATGGACTGGATTGACTTGGCAAGCAAGATCATTTTTTTTTTTTTTTGAGCTGTTCTGAGGTTCATGCTCATCTCCTCTCTAAGTGATAACACTGGTTCGTATTCCTGAATTTTAGATTCTCTCACAAGAGTTTGAACAGCTCCCTTGACAGTGCAGCACTTCTCTGCCTTGGTACTAGAGATGTAAAACTGAGTGAGTGAAGAAGTTAAAGCTGTCCTTCAGGGTGTGCTGCAGTTCTCTGGCTTCAGCGTTGTGCTCGCAGGTGTGGGGAGCTTTGGGTCTCAGCATCCAAAGTAGACTTCACCAGCACCAGCTTCCAGCTCTGGGTTCAGACAGCACAACCAGACCTGGCTCAGGCTCTACCTTCTGTACTTCAGGCACCATCTCTCATCTCCAGACAGCGTCTGACCACCAAGTACCTTCTCCCCTTGAATCCTTATTCTGCGTGTCAGAATTGCCATGGGATAATTGCAGTGTGTCACTGAACCTCTTGCTTTTTGGCTGAGTTCTAGAAGTGGAAAATTAAATGTATTGAAAGCAATTGAGGCCATTGTGTCTTCCTGGTGAGCCATGGTAACTGTCAGAGGCAGGAATTAGTCTTGTCTGGATACAGAAGAACAGAAATGTTTATCTATTTCAGTGAGAGGTGATATAGGCTGAAGCTGAAGTATGCTAACAGGGTTGGCTGTAATGAGATTATGTCTTATAAGCACTAATGATTATATTCCCATTACTAAAATATACGTAGGGAATGGAGACAATTATACTGCAATCACTGTGGGGCTATGAACTTATTACAAAGTATACCCAGGAATCAGGCACATATTTTTATATTTTGACAACTGTACTTTAGCTTTCACACTGGCATATATCAGGAATCTCTCTCCTGAAATCAACAGAATTAGTGGAATTAGAAGTCAAGAGAGAAAAGCAGGCTAAGCAAATTAATATCCTTGTAGGAGGGAAAGCAGGATGAAAGCATCGCTTTGCTAACAATCATTGACTTGGTAAAATATGGTTTGCTTGAAATGTATTTTGCTGGAGTAAGCACTGTCACATAGGCCCTGGATTTCAGCAGGTATATAACCTTACTTTCAGCGTGGTGTATGTAAATCACGAAACAACCACATATACCTACTCAGCCCCAGCCCAGTGTGTTCGGTGGTATGCTGAGACCCTCCCTGGGGTGCTGTGCAACACAAGATAATATTTCCTCATGCTTTCCTTTCTCTTGGCTGTCATTTCTGGCTTCTTATTTTATGATTTTTCAGGACAGGAGGTATATTTTCCTTCTGTGGTTGTGAAGTTTATAGCATAATGAAGCCATGGTGTGTGGCTTGAGATGCAAATAACTTAACTGATGACTGCTTGGCAGCTAGATCTGTCCAGTTACATGGTTAAATGAGAGGACTTCTGCACACAGAGGAAATTGCTTTTCTGAAGGACGTTCTGGGAGCAATGTCCTTGGCTAAACGTTGAGCTACCAGGTTGGAGCATATTGCAACACCTACTTTTTTGGATACTGTTTTTTCAGTAAAGACTGTCATTCCCTCACTTTGAATCTTTGTATATATTAGATGAAATCACATTCAAACAAAGATTTACTGATTTAAATTAAAGTAATAAATCTCTTTATTGGAACATAATGTAAAGAGTATATACGCTGTACTATCGGTTGGCCCTGCGACTTGACTGCAGCTCTTTAGACAGGGGAAAAGGAAAAGTAAGGAAATAAAAACAGCCTTCCTGGTTAAATGTGCCTCTCCCAGCTTCCCAGGCAGGGCTGTACTTTACCAAAAGAAACCTTGATGACGAAATAGTGACCCATAATACTGGTTGTGAAGCTTTTCTTGATAGTGCTTCTGCAAGCTTTAAAGGTGTAATCAAATCTTTGTGCTCTATCTATACTGTGATGCACTGATTTCTGTTTCATTTCTCTGTGAGGGGAAGAAAACCATTGTTGCTGTCAAGAATGTTTTTTCCTGGAAAATGTATATGCTAACATGACAATATAAACATGTGGCCTTGCTGGCTTCACAGCTGGCTTTTTCTAGTGCCTTGGATGTCTGTGGTCAAAGAGGGCGTGAGAGAAAACTGGGATACTTGTCTCAGTGTGCTGGGGAGATGTTTTTTTTTTAATTAGGAATTACATCCTTAGGCTTTGCTTATTTATTATGTTTCTGAAAATTTTCTTTGAGTTGCTTCTTAACCAGCCTTTGAGAAACTTGTTCGCTTGGATGCCAGCTGCATGGGATATCTGTTGTAGCTGCAAGCGCTCACTTCTCTGCTTTTGCAGATTAAAACATTCATTGCTTGTTCATAACTCTCCTGTCCTGCAGTTGTCCTCCCCTGAAATATCTCCATCCTGTTCTTCCAGGTCTTCATCTTTGTGTAGGTGCATGGAGGTGATAAATGAGTTTCACCTGGAGGATGAACACAGCGCTGAAGCTGAACTCTTCAGTTTAAACATCAGTTTAAACACCAACGTGGCCTTCAGCTGGCCATTTCCCGCTGAGGATGGCTTTACTCGGAGGCATTTTGATCATTACTTGTCAGTAAGTGTCCATGAAAAGAGTCTTCAAAAGGTCCTTTATTCTACTTGAGCTGTACAATAATTAATTTTATTTCACATGATAGCTGTTTACTGTTCGATATCTTCAGTAAAGTTTCATTTCTAATTAACGTGCATACCAGGAGGTTTCTCTTTATCTCTCAGAAGATATGTACTCAGACAATCCTGTTCTAGTAAGAAGTGCGCAAGCATGTATGCAAAACAGAGAAGCCTCTGACTCTTATTAAATTTCTAGAGCAAGCCTTAGTGTTATAAGCTTTTGATGAGATACGATCTTTCCTCAAACGCAATCCAATATCCCTGGGTGGCAGCTATTTCTTTACGTTTTTTTTACCCTTCTTATTTTAGCTGGTAGTTTCTCATCAGTTTTCTCCTCTTGTTTCCTCTGTGTAAGAACTCGGGCACTGAGCAGTCGTGGTGCAGTTGTGCTCTAAAATGTGCAATTGAGAAGGTGGCAGTGCCAGCTGGGGTGACTTGCTCCGTCCTGGACTTTGGGCTGCAGCAGCTCTGTCCATGCTGCCTCTGGCTAAGACAGACCACAAGTGCATGCCCTGACTGAATATTTTGGAGAAACAAAGCAGGAAGAGCTCTTCCACCCTCATCCCCTCTCAGGGGGCTGCTGGGGTGCTCCAGCACAACGTCCCTGCTCAGCTTGCACTGTTTGAGCCCTAGGAGCTGTGCAGCGACAGCTTCAGGACAAAGAACAGCTGGGTACATATTTAAAAATGTAAATTTCCTTTCTGCAATTAATCTAATTAATGTAGGCATAAACGAGTAAAATAATTTTATAAACAAACAACTCTTTTCCATCTCTCATTATAATAAACTTCTAGAGATGTCTTAATAAGCCTTGCCTTGCACCTATGCTGCCACATCGTGTCTAGTGTAAATGCACAGGCTCACCAGAAGGATGCAATCTTGCACAACACTTTCTTTTTATTCAGCAGCAGTTCTGTACATAGCCAGCTGTGGTGTTTGATCCTCCTGAACCAGGTGTTCAAAGGTCCTCGTGCAACTAGAGGGACAAGCAGATGGGGAGATGCACAAGCTAAGTGCCTAGCTGCCATGGAAACTGATTGAAATTAGGAAATCAATTAAAGACAAAACCAGAAAAAAATTTATCACTTTAGGAAACTCTTTGCTTGTCTACATCTTTTCATTTTCTATAGCTCCTTCCATCTTAGGCATGCAGATATTTTAAGTTTTAATTTGTTACTGTGTATTAGCTCAACAAAAGGAGTTCTAAATTAACCTGAATTACCTTGCATTAGCTACAGGCTGAGTGTATGCATAAACATGGAAATCCAGCTGCTTTATGAGGAGTTGCTCTGGCACAATAGCTTACTCTTATGTCTGAACTCTTAGAAAATTTAGCCTTGAGGGCTGACTTTTCAAATGAGCTATGAAAAAAATAAATCATTGTCAGGCTGGGAAAGTAGGAATCTGTGTTCTGTTAATGGCATAGCTGGACAATCTAGGAAAATTCTGGATAAAAAAAGAACTTATATTTTGCTGATTTGAAATAAAGTTGTCAGAATGTGTCTAATGATAATCATATTTGGCTGAAAGCAGGCAGTGTTTGTCTCAATACCTGCCTGGATGTGGTGCCTGACAGACATTGAGTCCCAGGTGAGCTTTTCACCTTTTAAGTTCCCATCTGCTCCCCATGCTCTGTCCCGCTGTGTCCTGCGCTCTTCCCGTTGTTCCTCGCGCCCCTGGGTTGTGTTTGTTCTGTGCCCGTGGTCCTGCTGCTCAGCCCTGGAGCACTGAAATCAGGAGCAGCAGCAGTGTGATCTGAAGTATCTCCTGTGGGCAGATTAATAACCCTACCAGCATATATTTCTCTTTCAAACCAGCATTTGTGAATTCATCAGTCCAGGAGCTGGAATGCTGGAAGGGCCCTGAAGGTGTTAAAAAGGCCGTACTGGTTGCAGTTCAGTGGCAGTCAAATCCTAGCCAAAGTTCAACCTTTCAGCTTCTTTAACTGACATTTGGAATGGGATTTTCAGCCATCCCGAGAGATGAAGTTCCACTAAAAATCAATGGGACTTTTACAGTTCTAATGACTGAAACGCCTTCAGAAATCCCATCCTTAGGATTCTAAATTATTGTCTCATTTTCAGAAGTGCTTAGCAGCTTTGCCTAGGTTTTACTGCTGCTGGATATCACTTGGGTCTCTCTAAATCTCCTCCATTAATGATCTTAAGAGCTGTGGGAGCTGTGCTGAGGACACCTGCAACTATGGCTGACATTTGTGGATTTTTGGATTAATTTTTTAAAACACTTGCCAAAAAAAAAAAGATGGTGTTTTTTATTTTTTTTGAGATCTTCATAGAGATAAAGCCTTACATTATTCTTGCATTCCCCTTTGTCAAGCATTCAATTCCCTATTCGATCTACAGGATCTAAATAAATGAGCATGTTTGCCTGTCTTACCCAATGTCTAATTAAATATGAAGATTACAGATGTACTTGAACTGAAAAATGAATGCTGATATATTTTCATTGAGATCTGGATTTATAATGAAATGATTTATTACTTTCAAATTAGAAGCATTAGAAGAAGTTACAGTGTTTGTACTTGTGATTGCAACAAACTGCTTATATTTGCATCTCATGTTTTTTATACAAACACCATCCCTCTTTTGTAGAAAATTGCTCTGAGATGATGATGTTGCCCTTCTGAGATTTTTTTTTTCCCTATAACTTTTTAACTGAGTGCAATGCCTAGGGGAGAAGCTGAGCCTTAATCTATTGCTTTTCTGGTTCCAGTAGCTGAACTCAATCTGAGGCTTGAAATGCCTTACTAAAAATAAGATTTGAGGTTGTTACAGCTGTTTTCTTGTCTATAGTTTTAATTTCTAATGAATTCCATGAACTTGATTTAACATTAATATTAGTTTGATATTTTTCCTTTCAAGAATATTTTTCAATTGCTTGTTAGGCTTAGAACATCTGCGGAAGTCTTAAGTGATGTTCTTCCCTCCCCAAAATTGCTGATATGTGGACAGCAAAATGATAAACTTCTGCAGGAATCACTATTTATCTTTGTGGCAATGAGATCGCTTAGTATCATCCAATGAGCTAGTGGCTGTGCTGTATTTCAAGGCACAAGGCTGTCTGATGAGAAGGGCAGTAAGAGGCAAAACTTTATTTTATGTTTCATTGTACCTGAAACAAGAAGATATTGAAGGAAAAAAAAAAGGATGCAAACAGTGATGGGGGAAAAAAATAATCTTTTGTGATTCACACATGTGGCATGTGGACCCCCAGAATAGCTGTGTGTGAGCAGAGTGCAGTGGCAGGTGGAGTTTATTTCCTGGAGATGAAGCAGAATTGCAAAAGAGGAAGACGGGGCTGTGCTGGGTGTTAGCAGACAGAGCCCATGGTTAGCGTGTTTGCTGTTAGTATGAAGCTTTTTTTTTTTTTTTTTTTTTTTTCCCCCCAGGATAAGACCTTGAGTGAACTACAAACTACAATCACTGGCAGTAGAAGACTTTGCAGCCAGTTTTGTCTTGACTCATGCATGTTATCTTCAGTACTGAGTAGGTATCTGACAAATAAGTGAAAGCAAGAAAAAGATCTTGTTCATTTAGTAAAGACCTATGTAAATAATACCATACATTAGTGTGGGGAAAAATGCCTTTTTTCGCTCTGGATTTACCATAATCTGGCATAAAAATAATATGCAATATAAATGTGTTTATACCTTAGAGTATCTTGTTAAACCATTTAAAGTTAACTAATGTTTAGCTGTTCTGAAACTTTAATTAGCATTTAACAAGAAAGCAACAGTATAGCCAATTAGACATCTAAGCAATAACACACACATACACTTCTATTTTCTAGCAATTAATTGATAACTAGTTTACCGTGGGCTAATAATTAAATGAGAAAACATTCTGAGCAAATTGAAAGCACTGATGCAAATGAGTTCTGCATTTATTCTTTTCAAATTCACTGACCACATTATCTAATCTGTCGCGAACAGAGAAATCCTGAATTATGCTAAATATATACTCAAGCTGACTAACCAACCCTTAAAGCAACATTTGTCACTTTTTGGAAGCTTTAATTGCTCTGCTGAAGGAAAGTCCTAATGCAGTGCCAAGGCTGGCAGGTTAAATGTGGTGCCGACCACTGGTATGAGGGCAGCTGATGCTCTGTGCCCCGTGGATCAGTTGCCTGGCTGGTGGAGCGACTCCTCTCTGCTGTTTTTGCTGGAGACAGCAACCCCAGGCACAAGCAGAGAATTGTGTGTGTGTCCTTCCCAAGAAGAAAAAAATCTCAACCAAGTCTGAAGACAAAGGGGTCACCGTTTCAGCTACACGAGTGCTGGCAGCAGACAACTTCTGTGTTCTGCCAACTGAAAAATAAATGAAATGTTTGACAAAGAAGAATATGAGTTGGCAAAATCACTTGGTACATTCTGTACATGAAAATTGAAGACATTTTTCTACTGAATGCAGCAGTGATCACTGGGAATAGCTCCATACAAACAGGAAGCATCCCCATCACTCGTATTTGAAGTAGAGCAATCTCCAGAACATGGAGGAGAAAGTCTCATTTTGTCTTCAAGCTCATCTATTTATGATATCTTCCTCATCTGGACTGGCAGTAAGGTGAAATTGCCTGAGGTCTATCAAGCTTTAAACACAAGCCATCTGTTCAAACAAAACGCTCCCCAAAAGGTAGTGTTTCCCAATACCACCATTACCCCTGAGCGTGGCAGAACTGCTGTGTCAATATGCAGGGCATAAGCAAGGCCTGGCTGTTTCAATTGCTTTTCCAGCACAGTGGAACTGGAAAATAAGGCAACACCAGGTGTTTCAAAAGACTTGAAGGAAATGAAGCAATGTTTTCAATTATTTATTGTTTTTATTATTTTAATTGTTTATTTTATTACTATTTATTTAGGCAATTGTCTCATCTAAATTTGGAGGTGCTGTTTTATTAGTGTGAAATCAGTACCTGGGACCTCACGGCAGTACTTCAACAAGTATTGTGTAATATAATAATTTGTGTTCAAATTTTAATGTACTGTGCTTTCACCCATGAGTGCAGATTAGCAGATTACGAGGAATTAGAAACATTTGTTGTGTTTGGTTCCTTATTGAAGACTTGAATCCTGCTTTCCATGTATGAACAACCTTCAGAAAGGAGTGAGTGGCAGACCCTGAGGACAATCCCTAGAAGCATCCATCAGAGCTGCAGCTCAGGTGAGTGAAGATCACTGCTGTCCCCCACCAGGTAACCTCCCCAGGGGGCAAGCACCCCATTTTGGGGCTGCTCTGCTCCTTGAGACCCCATCCTCTGTTTGCTTCATGGACTCTCCTGACTGCTTTAACTGTAATTTCTCTAGATGGATTTTTGTCAAGTCATTTATAGACAAGGTGAGTAATGACATGTCACTGCCTTCTTTATTTAAAAAGTAACATTTACCAGTATCCACAGCAAGAGCTTCCTATTTGAAGCAGTCTCTTGAATTCTTTCTGAGCTGAGAAACAGATAATACTGAATGTAACAGACATTTTGGGATATTTCATGTCAAAGAAATATGGTAGAATTACAGAATAAGTATTGATTCACATTTATCACTGTTTCATAACATTTTTTTATTAAACTTTATTTAATCCTTGCTTTCCAACTCATTACTTTGTCTCTGGTTGTGACAGACTTTTATGATTTATTATGACCTCTTAATAGATACACACTTTGAGTTACAGAAAGGTAGAGCCATATTAGTTCTTTCAATCTTCTCTAGTGCCAATATAGGATTACTTTGGGAAATACTTGCTTAAAATGCTTCCAAAAGCTTTTTTCTAGTTTGAAATAACTCCCGTGACAGGGTGTACAGCAACTCAACTATTATTTGAAGAAAAGGTCACTGTAAGGGAGCCCAGGTACTTGGAGACTTTCCTCTTCCTCTGGAGCATCGTATGCCTTGGTATTGGAGCATCAGGTGCCTTAGAACTGGGGGTTATGGACTTGTAATGTTCAGAAATAAGGGCAAAGCAGACCTTATCCTTACAAACTTTCATTCCCAACAGCTGTTGCTAACACAAATATCTCCATATCATATATATGCAACTATAATTTGAAATTATAAGTAGCGCCTAAATTTACTGGTATTTACTGCACAGACATAAATAGAGCTAAAACTAACTGGAAAATAAAATAGAAGGAGGTTTATGTCTCATGTAGATGTCAGTGCTAACTTGAATTTATTTTGGTCTGATTAAGTATTGCATGTAATTATTCATCAAACTATATATTTAACAAGAACAGTCTGATTTAGTAACTAGAAGAAAAATATTGAAAAATATAAATGTTATTTATTAAATAGGAAATAACCTTAAGAAGTCATAAAAAGAGTTGCAGTCTGTAGTAAGTTTGGAGAAAAAAAAAAGTAAAAATATGACACAACTATCCTGGATGTTTTGGGTAAAAAGATAATAATGATCTTATAGGCAGACTGGAAGTTCTGAAATCTGGAGACATGGTGACTTGCCATAATGATCACATAAGGAATATAGCTGTTTTATTTGTGGTGTTTCTAGACTTTTTTTTTTTTCTTTACCTTTATTTATATGTCATAACTCATTTGCTTGTGATCAGATCTCCCTTCGCAGCTGTTGAGTGGATGCTGTGACTGCCACTTGTGTGGCTATCTGGGGCGCAGCTTCACAGGGCTGACATCTGGGGGCTCCCAGTCTACGTGCTACAAATGAGCACAAAACACCCACTTTGATGCTGACGGCTTCTGGCTAGTGCTCCTTCATGGTGGGCTTGATTTGATCTGTCTTTGTAAAGCTGTAGTTGCTCTTAAAAATCCCCAAAGCCGTCAGATCTTCAGAATCCCCCAGAACCACCTTTTGATCCTCCGGAGTTTCATCTGGTCCTGTTTGAAATCAAGGACAAGGAAGGCTTTGTGAAAGCTCCCGTTAAGAGCAAGATACTACAAGTGTCCAGGAGGAAGTGGCAGCGCTCGGCAGCTTGAAGCCATCGACAGAGAGCTCGCGGTGATTAATGGTCCCCAGTGTGCCCCGAGCCCCCAGCGTACCCTTGAGTGAAAGCAGGAAATTACTGCCGCCTTCCTATGGAGTAATCTTCTTTAGCTCTTCATCTATAAGCCTGCTTTGGGAGGAAGGGTGTTGTGTATCCTTTGCAGGAATCTTTAATTGAAAGAAGAGATGTTTTTCTGGCAGACAGGGAAATTCAGGAAAAAAAAAAATCCTCTTGGTGGGCAAGCTGAGCTCTGTGGCTTAAGTTTAGAAAACGGATATTTATTGGGAATTTTTGAACCTGCAGAAAAAAACCTTCAGGAAAAATAGCACGGAGAAATACACATGTGGCAGTGTGATTTGCAGGCTGCCAACTTAATCATCTCGTTCAATCAGTGGGATGATGATATGAGTATCATCTGAATGCTCTCTGAATGCTGGCCACGTTGTGGTAAGCTGCCTTTTGTGAACCAACAGTGGTTTGATCGTCAGCACGCTTGGCTTTGAGCCCTCAGCTCCCGGTGAATTACAGCACCTCACTGTCAGTGACAAAGACCTAGAAGACATTCATATTTTATACTCTCATAACAGTAGGATGTCTGAGAAATGCACTGACTAAAGGAGTTATCAGACGATCAGCATCGTTTAAGACCCCTTTATGCCTTGGGAATATCATTAAAGTAGTTTAGTGCAATAGAGAAACTCTTTTCTGATGGGGACAAAGAGCATGTTCTGAACACTGAGATTTACAACTAAAACATTTTCTAATCAAATGGGCATTTTGCACTCCTTAATTTAAGCAAATTTAACCAAAAGTCCCTTCAGTGCTTGAAGGCTTTCTATATCCTGTCTTCTATTCCATTACCAAAGTTTCCAGGCCAGGCAATGTTCTTTCAGAGAAATACCTGAGACACGTTTCCCTGGCAGCATCCTGCTCTCACCGCCTGCTCTGTCCTGAGCTCCTCCAGCCTCTCCTGGCTCTGCTCCTGCCGTGCCCTCTGCATCTCCGCAGTGCTGGTGTGGAGCACTCATGCAAAGCTGCCTTTAGATGCAACTTCACACGTCTCTCCCTGTTGAGGACTGCTCCATGGGTCCTAAGGTTTGTTTTTTCCTCACCAGTTGCTTCCTTGTTTTGTCTGACTGCCACAACTTTCTCTCTTTTTTGCATTTGCACCATGTGAAGCCCGATACCTGGTTGTAAGCTGCAAAAGCAACACGCTACCTGATGGTTCCAATCAATGTGTCTGTGCTTCCCTTTTGGGTGGATCAGTGGGTAACTCAGATTTTTGCTCTATACTAAGCCTAGACATTTTCCAGGATTCTCTGAAAATATTGATTAACCTTTTTGTTTGTGAGGCTATGGCTGTGAAATGGTGTGCGTTTTCTTTATCATTATTTTATTATGACAATTTCATAAGCTTCTCTGTGTTTTCCTGGAGCCTGGCCAGACTGGAAGCTAGCATTGAGGTGAACTTTGTGATGTCAACACTGACCCTGAGATCTACATACTGGATAGAAACCACTTTGTACATTTGCATATATTTTCTGTTTTTCATTACTGTTCAATATTCCAGTAGATTCTGCATTTCAACAAGTAACATCTAAGGTATGTACATGTATGTACTCATAGCTATTCTTATAGAAATGCCTCATGAATTTGTCACTTTAGGTTGAAAGAATGAAGCAAACTTGCTGCAGCCCCGGGAGGGCTCACTGGATGTCTCACGCTTGCAGAATTGCTCCTCTTGCACACGGGAATTGTCTCTACTGGTCACTCCAGCATCTCTTAGCACTTCCCAGGATTTCTTCTTTTCTTCCAGCAGGGTGCATTGCAGCAGTACTGATTGCAGTAGTGCTGTTCAGGTTTTCTTGATGCTAACCCCGCTTTTTCATTTTTGTGCATAAATAGCGTGGTTTTGTTTTGTAGTGGATTGTTTTCAGGAAAATCGTTACTAAACATGTAAAGACCAGGTGGACCTGTCCTTTCTATAAGATATGCATAGCATAATCTCCAGCTGAGCTGCAATTAGCTAAAGCCTCTGCTGTCTCAGGCAAAAGGGGCTCTCAGCCCACCTGTGGAACATGTTCCTGGTGGAGCAGCGGTGCTGTGCCAGGGGTGGGAGGGCTGCCCCCTGCTCTGCTGCTGGGGACGAGGGGACAGCGAGGGGACTTCTCCTGGGCATTGCTCTGCTGCCCCTGGCTGCACCAGCAGCTGCTAGGCTGACTATTTGCAAACCTAATGGTATTCCAAATGTGGCCAGTGGCTATTTAGATTTAGGAAAAAAAAAAAAAAAGTGCTTTTCTGGTGCCTGAGAGAAATTTGCTCGCTAACAAAGTATTTTGTGAAATTTTGCAGTTTTTACATAAGCAGTTATCCAGGGATGCCGTGCTTTACAGGAGTTCAGTTGTCACCTTAAGCAGCATCCTGGAATACCTCGTCTCATGCACCAGTCACAGAAGATGAAAGAAGTAAGAGCCGATCCTGTTGTGAGAGGTGTTAGAAATGTGGTGTTTCTGTGCCTGTTCGCATCTCTGTCTTGATTGATGATTATCTTCTAAGAAAAACTTCCTGGGGTGGAAGCCATTCCCAGTTCTCCCTACATCAGTAATTCTCTATAAGAGGCTAAAATATCATCCTGATTTTAGGATGTCTGTTTTTTTTTCTTTTTTATTTTCCTCAAATATGTGCAAATCTGTAACCAGACAGGGCATGAATGTTTTGGTTGGTAAAGCAGCAATCGTTGTCCTTGGCTTGTGGGTGAACCTCCACTGTGCCAAGGAATCCCTGGGTGGGAAGCAGCACTGGTTCTGAGTTGCTTGAACAAACCCAGCGTTGTACGCTTTGTTTTTCATACACAGTGACTGTGCATGGCATCTGAAGGCATACACCAGCAGAGCGAGCAAATAAAAAATGCAATTAAGATCAGAGAGTTTGCAGCTCTTAAACAATTTAATCCTACAGCTTAGAAAGCCCATGGTATAGTGAAGTCCGTGATAAAATATAGCTATTATGGCCTTTAAATCAAAGATTCCTGACAGTCTAGTAATGGGCTATCGTGCTCCCAGTGGCAGCCGTTCGCAGCAGC